ATCTCGGATGAAAAACTAGGTCACAGGAGCTAAAAATAGAAAAACCTTGTTAACACTCTAGTGGTCACAATTTTGACTCAATTGTCATCAAACTTGGTCAGGAAACTTGTCTAGGTCATTGCTGGGAATAAATCGAACATGGGACATCTCGGATGAAAAACTAGGTCACAGGAGCTAAAAATAGAAAAATCTTGTTAACACTCTAGTGGCTACTGTTGTGATCCAAATATTCTGTTAATTGGTCTGAAAGTTTGTTTTGATGATTTCTAAGTCAAGATCGAACATGGGTCATCTTGGATGAAAAACTAGGTCACACCGCCCAAATATGGAAAAACCTTGTTAACATTCTAGTGGTCACATTTTCGACTCCATTATCATCAAACTTGGTCAGAATGCTTGTCTAGGTAATTGCTTGGATGAGTTCGAAATCGCATGTGAAACTAGGTCACCGGAGCTAAAAATAGAAAATCTTGTTAACACTCTAGTTGCTACTGTTTTGATCCAAGTATCCTGGAAATTGGTCTGAAAGTTTGTTTTGATGATTTCTAGGTCAAGTTTGAATATGTGTCACCTGGGTAAAAAACTAGGTCGCACTGCTCAAATATGGATAATCCTTGTTAACACTGTAGTGGTCACATTTTTGACTCACCTGTCATGAGACTTGGTCAGAATGCTTGTCTAGGTAATTGTTTGGATGAGTTTGATAATTCAGGTGAGCGATCTAGGGCCATCATGGCCCTCTTGTTTAAGTAGACACACAACCATTCAATATATTTACTCGGAATAGGTTCAAGTATTGCAGAGACGCTGATTAGATCCAAATGACCATCATCTGAACATTTTAATTACCAAAATGACCGATTTGAGTTTCTTATGATCGCTGGTGTCTCTTTACACATGAGCTTCAAGAAGAAAGATATTTTCTTGATGTTTGATCTAAAATATGAGAATAGTATTCTTTAATATTCGAAGCTCATTGCTATGGAAACAGTTTCCCTCTCTTGCCGTGTTAACTTCTAGATAGACATTTTTTACTTGGGGGTCATGCCGCTTTTCATGGAATGGCACTTACGTGTCACATTGACGGTTCCATGATAACCGCCATGAACACATCTGCGGATATTTCAAAATTGTACCAGTTCTGGTTAAATGTTGAATTCTGCTTAAGCTATGGGGCCTTGTCGGTAACTTGCACTTTCCAGTACTGTCCATGAACAGGCTCAATCAAACCGAGCCTTCAACATTTTCAATTTTGCCGTGTTTGACTTTTTTTAGGGATTCTTATTTTCTCTATTTGAGCACTGTCCAGATCCCCTTGCATCTATTTCACACACTACCCCATAAACAAAGACTTTATCATTTGTCGTCTCTTCTCGATATTTTGGCTGCTTTTATCGATTTCATGAAGTATTTCTATAGCTTTTGTTACATTTTTTGTGATATCTTCCCTCTGCACTTTGAAGTCTAATCTCATTTTCAGTTAAGGCATTACCATGAATTGCAATGTTACCGGTATTCTTTTCCCTGCTCCTCAATAATACCACAGGCAATCGGTGCGTGGCTTGGATAGTATACATGTACATACCACGCCCACATACTTTTTTATAAATTTTTTTTTTTTCACTAATAAAATATTTTTTTATTCAAAATATTTTTAAAATATCTTATTTTCAATAAATCAACAAAGAAAATTTGTTTTAAAAAAATTTCATCCATATATACTATTAATATAGTAAAGGTAGAAAGGTTCGCCAGCGGACCTACCACCAGGCCTTATGTTACCTCCCAGATCTTTGTTAATTGTCAACCAATTTTCACCAAATAAAGTGCAATCTACGCAGAAATGATTTTTCTTTCGAAAAATGTACAATATTAGAACAGTTGGTACGACAAAAGATGGAATTGTAAAGCAAAAATGCACTTTTTGTCTAGGTCGGCCATCGCATGACCGAGCCGAAAGTAGACGATTTTGAACATAAATCGATCTTTTTCTTAATAACAAACTAATGTCAGTGCATGCAAACAGTTGAAATAGAAAGGGCAGCTATAATACTATCGCTTACCGGTCCAAAGTTAATCCAAAACGTCTGTAGGTACGCACTTTCGGTAGTTATTTGCACTAACTTTTTAAATTCCCTGACATTACATGTATACAAATGCTGACCCGGATGTATCTGATGCGTACCCCTTTTCGCATAATAAAAATTGAGCGAAGCTGGGTACCAGCGGGAACCGAGCATGCGTACCTTGAATATCCGGATCAGAATTTGTATACATGTACAATGTCGGGAAATTTAAAAAGTTAGTGCAAATAACTACTGAAAGTGCGTACCTGCAGACGTTTTGGATTAACTTTGGACCGGTAAGCGATAGTTTTATAGCTGCCTTTTCTATTTCAACTGTTTGCATGCACTGACATTAGTTTGTTATTAAGAAAAAGATCGATTTATGTTCAAAATCGTCTACTTTCGGCTCGGTCATGCGATGGCCGACCTAGACAAAAAGTGCATTTTTGCTTTAAAATTCCATCTTTTGTCGTACCAACTGTTCTAATATTGTACATTTTTCGAAAGAAAAATCATTTCTGCGTAGATTGCACTTTATTTGGTGAAAATTGGTTGACAATTAACAAAGATCTGGGAGGTAACATAAGGCCTGGTGGTAGGTCCGCTGGCGAACCTTTCTACCTTTACTATATTAATAGTATATATGGATGAAATTTTTTAAAAACAAATTTTCTCTGTTGATTTATTGAAAATAAGATATTTTAAAAATATTTTGAATAAAAAAATATTTTATTTGTGAAAAAAAATTTTTTTATAAAAAAGTAAGTGGGCGTGGTCATGTACATGTATACTATCCAAGCCACGCACCGATTGCCTGTGAATAATACATATAGAGAGTACTCTCACTTCCTGTCGTAACAATACCCGATGTGTCGTCTGTTCATTCGAGAGAGAAAAATTGTGCACGAATAGAATATGTCATGATAAGCAGTCATCACAGCAAAGCATGATGAAATGTCTTACAAAGAGCTAGTGCTTGTTTTACAAGCAGCAACATTGTTTCCTCTGAACACTTTGAACACGTCAATTTTGAATGGCTATTTGAAAGGACATGTCGCATCCTTCGTCTCCGTTTTTAGTGCTTGAGTAAGAATAATCTCGTTTCTCTGGATTTTTATACTGTTGTAAAACAAGGCCGACAGCTTTTTTTATCAAGTGCTAGCTGACTCTCGATCTGTGCTTTGACTTGATGCAACGATGTTATCACATTTAGCAAGAAGTGCTCTTAGAATAATTCTGATACCCTACACATCTATTTGGCATTTCAGACTTTTATAATATTTGTGAATAACATTTACAAAGTAAGATTTTCTTTTTATGTCTTTTGGTACATATACCCGTGTTCCTGGCCTTCCGCAGTTTCATAACCACAGTATTGAGCCCTTGTCTGTGTAGAATAAAACAAAGGTCTTCAAATGGAATCATCATCAATAATCTCAAAATATACTCTGTTAATGGCATGCCCCTGTCCCCACGAAGCAACCCAAACAGCGTTCTATAATTTTCCTTGCTGATCATACAAATGCGTTTTAATTCAAATATTATTTTCAGCAAATTTCCTTTAACAGCAATAAAGTCTTGTAAAGCATTGATGACGCACCCTATTTTTATATCATCGAAAATTACGCAACTCAATTTCAATAGCCATTCAGACAAGTCAGATTACATTCCAAAATCAAGAGTTCTTTGGTTAAAATATCATGTTTGAATATGTAATTGTGAAATATTGTTATTGATACCGGTATTGATATTTATTTTCAACTGTTCCTTCAATAATAGATTTAATCGATTACGTATTCTTTATTTTATTCATATAGGTAAGAAACTGGATAGTATAGATAACTAAGTAGATATATGTTACCTATTATTTCTTGTTATTACGAGTGTAAGATGCATGTCCTGTATTAATATATGTAATCCACTTCACGTGCTTCTGAGAAATTTCTAAAGCCAGGGTTCATTGTCTCTAAACAAAATAACAAATTTTTGACCTATAAAATTAAGCTGTATAACCGTCTGAGCTTGGACTTTTGTTTTAAAGTGTTTGAAATATCAGAGAAAGATAGGAGTCCTTCTAGACTAATTGATTGTTCTCTTTGATAGTTTGTATATATCATTTGTATTGTCAATAAAATCATTAACATTTCTATCCCCAATAACGTCAGCATTTCTATATAAATTTCTGTAAAATTTTTCAGTCTCATATAATACTCATTTTTTGTCATAGATTCATAAATTAAAGACACATCTATATTTATTTTCTCACTTCTTATTTTTTCCAGTTTTGACTGCAAATAAGATAAAGTTTTCTGGGTCTTTTTTTATTTATGTTTGATTTTATGTCTTGAATTTTGGAAAGGAGACTATTTTCTTCAGTATTTCTCGTTTATAATTGTTTTGTAGCTAGAAAAATAAATCGTTTTGCTTCTTATTTCCATTAACATGGTTTCTAAAAAAAAGTTGATCATCAATACTAAATTGTAAATCTTCATTACTGACATTTCAAACAGTCAATTTTATACAGAGGCAATAAATACTGTAATATTACATCTTATCATTACATTTTTTATTACAATTTAAATATTATAAGTCACATAATAAAGAAATATTAGATTTCCATTAACCTTTTCCATGTAAAATATTTTGTAAATCAATTATAAGGATTATGATAGAATGGTCAGATATAAGCTAACATCTATATCACAACCTCTAACATGTGGTAATAAATCTTCAGTTTTAAAGAAAAAATTCTAATTTGACATGATGAATTGGATTTGTGCGTCGCCTCAGTTAGCATTTAATTCCCGAAACAGCTCAATGTAGTTACATAATACAGACCTAGAGTTTTTGGTTCTTATATATAAAGATTCATAATTGTCATTTTCTAATTCTATATGTTGTACTAAATTAAAATCACCACACAAAATAAAAGTATTATTATTAATATCATCTATTAAAAGAGAATATTTTCATAAAACTTTGGATGATCTGTATTTGGACCACAAGCATTTATATATATGTAAATTGTTTTGAGTGATTCGGCTGATTGGACATACAGTAGTGTGATTTAATTTAGATGCTTGTGTACTTTCCTGGGTTATAGGCCTAGTAGCTTAACATTTATGGTATTCATAATAATATTTGTATTGATATTCAACTGACCAGATGACTGTATAAAAGCTCACAATGATTATCATTAGTTCCACTCAGTCATCATTACTTCCAAATTATCATCATTAATTCCAAAGACCATTAACAGTTCCACATGACCATCATTAGTTCCACATGATCATCATCAACTCCAAATGACCATCATTAGTTCCAAATGACCTTTTTATAAGTTTTATTAATTCCAAATGACCACTTTTCTTCCAACTTGCGAACTGAATCAATGGCTGACCATAATAACATCCCGATGATTGATTTCAGTTTTATATAATGGCACTTCTGTACTGAGACCTCTTATTTAAGAAGAAATATACTTTCTCGATGTTTGAGCTGAAAGATGAGCATGATAGTCTTCAATATTGTGCAGCTCGTTCGTATGGAAACAACCTCCGTCTCTTGCTATGTCTAGCGCTTCTTCAAGAAAGGCTTTAGCACTGTCCAGATCCCCTTCCATTTCATACACTACCCCGTAGCAAAGGCTCTTTATCATTTGGCGTCTCTTTTCAATACCTTGGCTGTTTTTATCTATTTCATGGAGTAATTCTTTAGCTTTTGTTACGTTTTCTTTTGTGATTTCATTTCTATGCACTTTGAAGTCCAATTTTATTTTCAGTAAAGACATTACCATGTATTGCAATATAATTCTTTTCCAAATAACCTGTACTTCTTTCTGTTCCTCAAACATACATAAAAGAGCACTCTCACTTCCTTTCAAGGCAGACTCCGATGTCTCGTCTGACTGTTCATTGGAAAAAAATAATGTTTGCAAGAATAAATCGTCATGATAAGCAGAGGTTAGAGCAAAGCATGGTGAAATGTTTTCACAAAGAGCTTTGGCTTGTGTAATATATGCTTGAGCAGCATCGTTGTTTTCTCTGAACGCTTCTGTACACGCCAATTTTGAATGACAAACTATTTGAAGGGACGTGTTGTCGCATCCATTTGTCTCTGTTTTTAGTGCTTGTGTAAGAATAATATCTCGTTCCTCTGGATTTTGATACTGTTGCATAAGTAAAACAAAATGTACAGCATTTTTCTCAAGTGCTAGCTGCCGATTGTTATCCGTGCTTTGACTGGATGCCACGGTGTCATCACATGTAGCAATAAAATCCCTTAGAATAATTCTGATACCCTGCTTACCCCCAATGATGCAGTTGTTATCTATTTGGCTTTTTAGATTTTTGTAATATTTATGAATGAATTTTGCAAAACGAAGCTCTCTCTTTTGAGGTTTTCTGTACAAACGTGTATATCTGGCCTCCTGCAGTTTTATAACAACAGTATTGAGTCCATGTCTGTCTAGAATAAAACACAGGTCTTCAAGTGGAATCATCATTAATAATCTTAAAATATACTCTGGTAATGACATGTCTCTATTACCACGATGCAACTCAATCAAAATCTCATAATTTTCCTCGCTTATTATACCCATATTTTTCAGTTCACACGTTATTTTCAGCAAATTTCCCTGAACACCAATACAGTCTTGTATAGCATTGATGACACAGCCTAAATCTTTTGTATCATGTCCAAATAAATATCGAAAACTACGCAAATCAATTTCAAGAGCCATTCTGTTCTCCATTCTATATTTCGTTGTAAGTCTGAAAGTCAAATTACATTCCAAAACCAAAAGTCCTCTGTTGAAAATATTATGTCTGAATCTATAACTGTGAAATATTGGATTGATTTTCAAATGTTCTTTAAATAGATTTAATCGACTAAGTATTTTTATTGTATTCAAATAACTAACTAGATACTTTTGATAAATAAACAGATATACAGCATATTATTTCCTGATATTACAAGTGTATGTAGTACATGCAATATGTAATGCACTTCACGCGTCGTTAGGTCATACAATAAAGAAGTGCTTATTTTTAAGTTACAGCAAACTGGTATCGAATTTCATGGCAAAATGTATCAACTGAGGAACCTAACTAAAGCGAAACATGTTTTGATATTTAAATTTGTGTTGTTGTTTTTTTTATCCAATTGTCCTATGGCAAAATAAATAAAATTTTCAGACCGAATGCTATTTTAAGAATTGTTTCTTTCGCAAGTTATTGAATCAAGTTATTAGATTAAGTTATTAAATTAAATCACATACATGTATCTCTGTATTGGTATAAAAAATATTTTCAGCTCCTCTAACTCTTTAATTCTAACTGAAGAAGTTAATGAAAGCGAAACTTTCTTCACATGTTGCAGCGGCTCATGTATCATATTTGTTTTGCAAAATTTTATTTATTTTCAAATCATTTCAATGTCTTTATTTAAGTGTCAATTATGTAATATGTCGTAGTCTGCTTTAAAAGTTTACTACTTAATCACCTCTTTACAGCCACCCTTGATTATTTGTTTTAGAAAATATGAGTTTAATGTAAATATGGAAACAATAATTTGATGTCAATCCTGTACGTATACCGAGCCCTTTGCATGTAATTATTAACTAAAGTGAAACCTGTATAATAGGCATTTTTTACATTTAAATAATTACCCACAGTCTACCGAAATAATTACTGGCCAGTTTATCATAAAATTACATTTTTTTCTGTTTGTTTTTGCAATACACGTAAATTTACAAAAAGATTTCAAAATATGCAAAAATAGCTCTTACTGTGTTAGTCACGCGGTAGAATGTGTTAATAGATACTACAAAATCAATCATTTATCGTACAAAACATTTAAATTATTACTTAAATCTTACTTAAATCTTAAATCTTTTTACTTTTGTTAAAATCTTACATTTTAAAACAGTACATTTTTCTCAAGTTTGATTTTCTTGAAATATTTTGGCTCATCTGGAGAGAAAGCATCTTGCAACTACATGTACTATAAAACTTATATGTTACAGATTTCCTTTGCATTTAATGAAACAATGGACATGCCATTCCTCTGATAAATTTTAGTCTTTCATTTTTGCTACTAATTATTACTTGTTTAAGACAAAGAAGTAAAAAAAACAACAACATTTTCTTGACATCTAGCACATGCCTAACCTGTATTAATATTTACGCTAATAAGAATCAGTGGCATGAAAATAGAAATGCCAGTGCTCGCAAAGGAATAAATGTATATCAAGAATATCAATAATCTGGTCAAATTCAAAACATTAAAAGTAATTCAGTATTTTTATTTACATACCCATTTTACTCCTATGGTTGTAAACTTCTTGATGTGCTTGCAGTGAATGAGATTAATAATATTTAGAATGGTAGTAAGTTTGAAAATTTGATCAAATCACTTAGAAATGCATCGAATTTCGAAGAAACTTTTTCAATTCGTTAACGTTGGTTTCATTTTCGTAAAAGTCCATTTGGTTTCATTTTCGAAAAAGACCATTTTAAAAGAAGTTATTCACTTCAAACTTGGTATACATGTACATGTTCACAACTATCAAATTATGTTGTCATTTCAAAAAGGCAGGTAATGTCAAAATTAATTGTGCTAAATAATGTCCCATTTTCGACTTTAATTATAATACCCTGCACTGTGAAATTTGAGCATTGTGCTGTCTGCGGAGAGGTCTTGTTATAAAATGATTTTTCATTTCATTTTGAATGGATGAGCTTGTTCCCATACAAACAGTAGTTCTAGAAATCTTACAAATCCTGTTGTTTTATACAAGTTCTATTTGATGAGACTTTTCCGACTTATATTGAGGAGCTTTACCGCCCACTGTACGGCGTAGCTGACGATCTGACAATGGCCGCCATACCAGATCGATCCGACCACCTGAGTATTGGCTCCTTCGAGACGTCAAAGAACCACTGGTGAATGGTCCTCCGTCTGACTCCAAAGATTACACCCATGAACTTAGCAACGCCCTTTCGTCTGCGACGATGATGGAGACAAAGATTGACTGAATGTTTGTCTCGGTCCCCTGCAGGCTCACTTCGAGGAAATGAACAAGAGTGCCGTCGACTTAAATGACGTTTTGTAAAAATCTTGCAACATCTGTCTTTGGCACACAAATTAGCATCGTCGGATACCCACGATTAATAAACATGTCACATAACATGCAATCCATGTTAATGGTTCGGCCGTGGGTATCCGACGATGACAAATTAGTTGTTTCTTTTCATAATGATTTTAAGTAATCTTTATCCATATGATAGAAGATATAATGTAAAATACGATATCGTAAGAAAGGCCTTATACAATTGTGAATCTTTATTTGGTACGGTCTCAAATGCTGATTTCATATATCAGAAACCTAAAACTCAAAAGAATCAAAAGGTTAAAACTAAGAAATAATGTTTTGGAATATTTTGAAAATTCGTCTATGACGACCTACGTTTAAAAATGTTTCCATGGAGCACGTTCCATTCCCCCTTTACATAGTTAAATCTTTGGTTGCATGGCATGTGTGAGAATATTTTTCTGATTTGATTTTATTGTGCAAATTTCATCACGTTTTAGTTTATAAATGTAATTCAAGACATTGTTTTCCGACTTAAGCGGATGGCTAAACTACTTAGTACTATAATTATTGTCACAGTATGATGAAGAAAGCTATTGTGTTTCCAATTGAAGTGGATCTGTCACCCTGCACGTTCACGTACTACACATCAAATCAATTCAATGATGGGATTGAAGATAAAGAAGAAGTTAAGGAAGAGCATGTGATAGAAATTTCCGATGATCTTATCTCGACTGACTAATACATGTACTTGTTCACTGGCTGTTACTTAAGTAAACTTGCTGTAGAAATTTATAAAAAGGTTCCTGACTGCCTGATTATTGTTTTTTTTTTAAATGTTTTTGTTGGGTTTTTTTCTGGGATGGTTCTTTATTTTTTAGTCAGAGGTTGACTAATTTCAGGTTGACTGCTTGTGAAATACACAGGAATGAACTGAATAAAAGTAGAATTTCATATTCAAGTCCTTCTGCGCGCGCGAACACACACACACGCACGCGCGCACACCAACACGCACACACACACATGCGCAGACGCCTTCAACTATTATAACCGCGTGCGATCGTTTTAGATTACGCAGTCAAGATCTGACATAAATGGAAAAATATATGTTTAGAGTGCGTTACCGGTGAAATATTCAAATGACCTTTGACGCAATTTAAGTAACGAGCCAAAATTAGAGTTACATAGGTCCTAATTTTGGTATTTATTAAAGTGGCGTCGCTCTCCGAAACTTTTCTCCTTGTGATTTGATTCAATACAAATATGAGTAAGGTCATTCGGAAACATAGAATCGCCTGTCACCAGCGACATGTCGAAAATGATAATTTTTCTACAACTCTATAAGTTTTTTTTATAGCAAATAGAACATAAAACATATCATTGAAAAGTTAAAAAAATATATGACCACGCGAACAATATCTATCAAAAAAATGATAATGTACTTACATTGTAAACTAAAATAGATAAAACGTTCAGTCATAGATTCAGGGTCAAAATCTGAACTAACTTCGCAAATAATGTAAGTAATTTTTTATCTTAAAATGCTAATTTCTTATTGAATAATAATCTATTTTGACTAAGAACTACAACTGTAACGCAAAACTGACTTAGAAATGGCTGAGTATCTTTTTTTAATTAACTTCTTGTTTAAAATGTCCGGGGAGTAATGTAATGGATATTGTTCACGGAAATAAAATTTCTTCAGGAAGTAAACACTTTGTGTGAGGATTTTGTTGCAAATTATTTCATAAATTATACCATATAGACATGCATCTACATGTACTTTATATACCTAAACGCCGGCAAGGAAGATAACTTCAAAAAGATTACAATAACATGCATATATACTACACTTGAAAGAAGGATGTTTATATATTTTATTACTTCTTTTTTTATTAGAAAAAAAAAACATATTAACAATAGTTTCACTTTTCTAGTTTTATATCCTTTCTATTCAACCCATCCACTGAATGGTTGAATAATTAAATTTTATCATTTTTGTTCATGTTTTTGTCTGTGTCTTTATATTTTATTTCAGATCATCCAAGCATAACATGCTCAGTCAATATGTTGATAATTTCAGACTCATTTACATTTACCTCGATAGCCTCAATATAAGCCTCGGATACTTTTGTAAATTCATGTTTAAGTCATCAGGAAATGTATCTAATCTCTTTAATCAACATTATTAACTGTTTTATATTGTGTATTTTTTCTCGTATTTTATGAGATATTCGTAAATATATGAATAATTGATTAAATAAAATGTTGTTTTAATGTATTACTGGGATTTTAAAGGCGTTTTGAGCTCCACACCCCAAGTGTCTGTGGCATTAATTACCGAATTCTTAAAAACGTGATCATATTCATTGATAATTTTTGTTTTTGTTGTTTTGTCACCCACGGGAATGATTGAATTTATATTTTATATTAGATTCTCATTTGTGCAAAGATATAATCATCATGTGCAATTTGGCATGCTTTGAAAATCGTTGAGTTCGATAATGAAAATAAAAGGCACAATAAAATTAAATGAAAATTGTACACCTAAATATGAGAAATGCTCAACAATTTCAAGGACAGTCCCCTCATAGTGAAAGTTAGGCATATTACGCAAACCTCTCTTGGTTTTCCAAAATATAATAACTTTGGTTTTATTTGTATTTACTTCAAGATTCCAAAGCTTGCAGTAGTCAGACATAGCGTCTAATGCTAACTGAAGCTGCTGAGAGCTCTCTGACAATGTTACAGTGTCATCTGCATACAATAGTAAATACAGTTTAAGATAAACTTCCATTTCATCATCACTTAACATATCATTTATATGTTCTTTTAGAAACTGCAAACCTTCATATTTATCAGACATAAAATTAGTTAGATCATTCAAGAAAAGAGAAAACAATATTGGAGATAAGTTTTCACCTTGTCTTACTCCAGTATGACTAGTGAACAAATCTGAAATTGTATTATTCGAACTAACACATGACTTAGCTTTGTCATACATATTGTGTATTATTTTAAAGCATTTCCCATCAATATTGTAACTTAATAATTTATGCTACATGGCAGTGCGATTTACAGAATCAAAGGCCTTGCGATAATCTACAAATGCACAATACATGTACAATTTTTTTCCATGTGCTAGATATACGTCCACTAGAAGTTTTAATGAAAATATGTGATCAACAGTACTATAATGCTTCCTGAAACCTGCTTGTTCTTCACATAGAATGTTGTTTGATTCCAAGAATTCATTTAATCTGTTATTAAGTACCGAAGTGAAAAGTTTTCCAAAGCAACTGAGTATTGTTATGCCCCTGTAATTATCCGGATCATTAACATCCCCTTTATTTGCCGAGTTGTCACGATTGATAAAAAGGAACACTTTGCTTCAATTCTGTATCTGTGTAAATACGTAGGAGGACCACTTCTGGTATATGTCCTACGGGGAGTGGAGGAACTCTAGTCGAGTTTCTGAAGGGCTGATTTGAAGCCCCCTATTGTAGCTGCATGCACAACTGAATCTTCCAGATGGTTCCAATCCTCAAGTGTTTTCACAAAGAAGGAGTTTTTAAATTGATTTGTTTGTGCGTTTATAGTTTTAAATGATCTAGTGTTATTGGCTACTCTTATAATGTTTGTGGTTTCACAGTCACTGAATCTCTTTGGTTTAATTAAGCGTCCTTCAACTTTCTGAGTCAGGTATTTATCAGGGTCCACTGCTGGCACCATACCCCTGCTATCTTGTAGAGCATTACAAGGCGGTTGTAGGTCCTACGGTCTTGTAGTGAGTCGAGTTTCAAGCTGGTCAGCATATCTGTAACACATCCTGGTTTTTCTTGACTTGTAGTCATTCATAATGAATCTTGCTCCTAATCTTTGTATATTTTCCAGTTTATCAATATCTTTTTTCAAGAACGGGTCCCAGATGATTGAAGCGTATTCTATTTTCGAACGTACAAGGGCTATAAAGGCTGTTTTTCTACAATCTAGAGGGCAATGTTTCAAATTTCTTCTAAGGAAGCCCAAGGTTGAACTTGCTTTTTTACATATATTTGTAATATGGTTGGTCCATGTCAGATCGTTGGAGATAAGTACACCAAGATAAGGATTTGAGTCCACGTGTTTTAAGATAGTATTATTGAGTTCATAGAAGTGTGATGTCTTGTTTTTGATGCTCAGTATATAGCATTTACCAGCGTTGAACCTCATTCCCCACTCTGACGCCCAGTTCTCAAGGCTTTTAAGGTCTTTTTGTAAAGTTATGTGATCTTTGTGGTTTTTAATTTCTCTATAGAGGAGGCAATCGTCTGCGAACAGTCTGACTTGTGATTTAACGCTTAATGGTAGGTCATTTATGTGACAAAGGAACATCAGAGGTCCTAGTACAGTACCTTGGGGCACGCCCGATTCAACATGGGTGCTCTTGGAATGTTCTCCCTCGACTACTATATTCATTGTTCTCTCTTTCAAGAAGGACGATAGCCAGGTTAGTAGTTCTCCTTTTATTCCATAGTTCTCTATTTTCCAAAGCAGACGATCATGGGGGACGGTATCAAACGCCTTGGAGAAGTCCAGAATGGCGACGTCTACTTGCTGTTTTCTTTCGAAAGATGAAAGTAGGTCATGCATAGTTACTAGTAGTTGTGTTTCTGTTGAAAAACCGGAGCGAAAACCGTGGTTAAGTGACGTTAATATACGATGTTTTTCCAGGTGTTTAAGTAAGTGGCTGCATATGATGTGTTCTAATATCTTACTTGGAACTGATGTAAGACTCACTGGTCGATAGTTTTCAGCTGAGTGCCTGTCGCCTTTCTTGAAGACTGGGGTAACGTTTGCATCCCTCCAATCCCTTGGGAGTTCACCCGTATCAATAGAGAGCTGGAAAATGCAACTTAGGCCATTCGCTAGTTCATTTGCACAGTTTTTGAGAATAATGTTTGGTAGGTTGTCTGGACCATTTGCTTTGTTAATGTTTATGTCTTTAAGTAGTTTCAGCACACCATCTGGTTTTATAGAAAGTTTACTTATAGTGGGGTATTTGTTTTTCTCTTTCATCTCAGGTAGATAATTACTGTTGTCTTTAGTGAATACTGATTTAAATTGATCTAGTAGTATTTCTGCTTTGCTTTTAGAGTCCGAGAAGAGATTTCCTTTCTTCTTTAGGGGAGCAATCCCAATGTTGTCCTGTTTTTTCGACTTGATGTAGTTCCAAAATGGTTTAGAGTTTTTCTTTTCCATACCCTCAGTGATGATCCTGTTTACGTGGTCCCATTCAGCCCTGCGCATATCCCTCTTGCATTCTTTTTGGAATTGTTTGAATTTAGTCCATGATCCTGTTTTCTTTGCTTGTTTATAAAGCCTACCTTTTTTCTTTAGATTTTTTTTAAGGTTATGGTTGAGCCAGGGTAGTTTGTTGATGTGTCTTTGAATTTTCGATGGTACATTCTTTTCAATACTAGAATGAATTCGGTTTTTGAACAATGTCCATAGGTCTTCAATTTTGTGTGGTCCTGTATGAGACATAGTCTGTATCTCCTCGGACAGCTCGAGGCAGTCTTTTTTGATGGTTTCCCAGTCAGCTTTATTATATTTGTAAATTTTCCTTAAATTTAATTAAAAACTTTGGGTTTATTTGAGCTGAAAATGTACAAATGACAAATGGTAAATTGTTTGCATTTTCTGTGTTTAAAATGGCATGTCAGTTGAGTATTTGATTATAGCAGTAACTTTTAATACGAGTCTCAACTTTTCATGCCAATGATGATACCGTAGTATTTGACAAATGTTACGAATTCGTTGTAAGAAAAATGAAGTAGTATTCGGACAGTTACAATTCATTAATTGCTGTAGCATTGTTTTAGAAAGTTTAAATGGCCAGTTCTTTTCTTGCTCCCCAAAATGGAGAGCTCATATAGTCGCCACTTTGTCCGGATGTCCGTCTGTCCCATTTTCTTGTCCGAGACATAACTAAAACAACAAGAGAATCCACAAGAAACTTTGCAGGCAGATAGATCACATTGGGTAGATGTGCAGTGCAAAATCCCATAACTCTGTATTGCCTAATTTTGGAGATATTGCCCTTTGTTTATTTTTACTTTTTGTATTTTCTGATCGCAACATCAGTAAATACATAGCTAACATCCACGGTCTAACACAAAATTTCCTCACAGACCTAACAACGCAAAGTAGTTCTCACTCAAAACTGCTTTAAAACCAGCAATTTAAAAGAAAGAATAATTTTTAATGTAGGCATTAAACGAATTACAGTGCATTTAAAGTTTACATTAGTCAATAGAAATATGAGGTTACAATCACAAATTTCGCGGATGAAAATCTTTTTACCCAATGAAGAATGTTCGACTATTTCCGTAAAGCTTAATCAATGAAAATGCTATTTTTAGCTATGTCGATTACTGAATACTCCAGAGCGTAGTACACAAATAAATCTGACTGTAATGGAATATATACATGTCGGACTGTTTTGGCGAGAATATTTTCGCATCAGTGTTTAACAACAGGTTTATCGTGAACAAAATACCTCGAAATTAATAAGGATTACAAATACGAAATGAAAATTCCCAATTTTAGAATTACAATATATTTGTTTTTATTCATGCTACATACGTATTACTTCACTGTGGTGCAGAGGTAGCGCGCTGGTTTAGGGTGTCAGAGGTCTAAGGTTAAAATCCTTGTCGAGGCAACATTTTTTCTTGAAGTGTATTTTTTAAGGAAGTAGCCAAGATATGCAAGGATAAAGTGTGGCTGTAATAAAAAATGAAAAATGATTTTTGATGCAACTCTAGGCATGCAAAATTCCATATTTATCAATCACAACCTGTTAAATACAGTCGCTGAGATGAATAATAGTACATAAAAATAAACTTACCCTTTACCACATATATACGCGAAACAACGCACTTTCGACCCCCCCTTTTTTAGGCCTCAAATAGTGAAAAATTGTCCTATTTGGGCCCCAAACATAAGTTTTCGTTTGAGAATTGTTGCTTAGCAGTTTGAACTTGTAACAGGAGGCTTTTCAGTGAAAACGGCCATTTTTCACAATATGCTCATGGGGGAAAGGGTTATACAGGAAAGATCAGAAAATACCACAGAGCATGCAGTCCTTTGATTGAACTTTGTCCGGGACATAACTGTGAAACCATAAATGTATTAACAAGAAACTTTGCAGGTAGATAAATCTCATTGAGTAGATGTGCAGTGCAAAAGAACTTTAACTCTGCCCTGCCTAATTTTAGGGTTATTGCCCTTTGTTCAGTTTTAGTACTGTTTTACGCTTTGAACTTTGTCCAGACCATGACTCTGAAATCATTAGAGGTATCAACAAGAAACATAGTGGGTAGATATATCTCACTGAGAAGTGCACTATGCAATAGATCTCATTGAGAAGTGCTATGCAAAGAACAGTAACTCTGCCTTGCCTTATTTTTGATTCATTACCATTTGCTCATTTTTACACTTTGAACTTTGTCCAGGACATAACTCTGAAACAACAAGAGGTATACTTTATTTCTTTGAGTCATTTTCTATAACTAATATAGGTCATTTTTCAGCTCTTTTTTCGGTCATTTTTCAGCTCTTTTTTTTCAATTTTCAACCATTTATTTACTAAAATTTTGGTACTATACTGATGTTGTTAAATACTTAATACTTATATTTTTTCTCAACAGTATATAGAAATATATTGCCACTCCTGCGTTACTGTCAGTATACTGCTTTGAGATACACAACTTCAGCTAGAATGGTAAGACTTTCTGTTTGATTTTGAATTTGAGCCATGTCATGACAAAACCAACGTAATGCGTCGGGATTCATGCTGTTTGCTTACAAACAATATTATAAGTAGAGAAACTGATAGCGAACAGCATGGATCCTGATCAGACTGGTCGATAACGCATTATGTTGGTTTTGTTGTGACGTGGCTCATTTATAGTTTATTATTGCTGGGTCAAACCAGTATAAAACCTATTTGGAGATGAAAGACAGTTGGCATGTTAAGCAGCTTTTAAATATAAAAAAAGAGAAATATAAAAAGATGTATATAGATATTGATACATTAATACAAAACAGTAGGAAATACACTGTATGAAGAATTTTGTTAAAAGTAAAAGCAAAGTATCTTCTTGCAAAAGCAATGAATTTTCTTGCTTTTTTGTTGCAATATAAGTAATCAGCCACAGCTCTTGCCTAATATGTATAAGTTTTTACCTGTTTACTTTACAAGTCTTAATTAATGTTTTATTAACCAGGTTTTCCGAAGGAAAAAACTGGTTATTAGATTGAGGTATGTCGGCGGGCGGGCGGGCGTAAACAATTTCTTCTGTGCGCAACTCCTTCTACATTTCTCAACGGATTTTGACCAAACTTTCACAGAAGCTTTGTCATCAAGTGCCCTGGCGCATATTGTCGGGGTTTTGCGATTGGATAATATTTGACCTAATTATGGCCCTTTGTTTTTTTTCCTTATATAGAATATATAGTGAACAATTTCTTCTGTGCGCAACTCCTCCTACATTTCTCAACGGATTTTGACCAAACTTTCACAGAAGCTTTGTCATCAAGTGCCCTGGCACATATTGTCGGGGTTTTGCGATTGGATAATATTTGACCTAATTATGGCCCTTTGTTTTTTTTCCTTATATAGAATATATAGTGAACAATTTCTTCTGTGCGCAACTCCTCCTACATTTCTCAACGGATTTTGACCAAACTTTCACAGAAGCTTTGTCATCAAGTGCCCTGGCACATATTGTCGGGGTTTTGCGATTGGATAATATTTGACCTAATTATGGCCCTTTGTTTTTTTTCCTTATATAGAATATATAGTGAACATTTTCTTCCGTGCTGAAATCCCTCTACATTTCTAAACGGATTTTGACCAAACTTTCACAGAAACTTTGTCATCAAGTGCCCTGATGCATGTTGTCAGGGTTTTGTGATTGGATAATATTTGACCTAATTATGGCCCTTTGTTTTTTTTCCTTATACAGAATATATAGTGAACAATTTCTATCGTGGGCAATTTCTCCTACATTTCTCAACGGATTTTGACCAAACTTTCACAGAAGCTTTGTTATCAAGTGCCCTGGCGCATATTGTCGGGGTTTTGTGATTGGATAATATTTGACCTAATTATGGCGCTTTGTTTTTTTTCCTTATACAGAATTATCAATATATAGTGTACAAATTCTTCTGTGCTGAACTCATCCTACATTTCTCAACGTATTTTGTTCAAACTTTCACAGAAGCTTTGTCATCAAGTGCCCTGGCACATATTGTCGGGGTTTTGTGATTGGATAATTTTTTATCTAATTATGGCCCTTTGTTTTTTTTCCTTATACAGAATATATAGTGAACGCTTCTTCAGTGGCAATTCCTCCTACATTATTCATGTTTTACATTGAACATAGTTACATTGTTTGTTGCTTGTATTTGTATTTCAAATTCAACATATTTATCTACAATGGTGATAATTGAAAACCTGGTTTCATGGCATTGCCATGTTTCTTGTTTTAAATGAAATTATTGGCTCAGTACAATACAAATGTGTGTTAATTTCTTTTTATAATTGGTTACCTTATTCTCCAAAGTGGACATTTATCCATTTGTTTAAACTTTTCATCCTTTATGTTTTAGGAAAAGCCAGTTGAAAGTTCAATTAGGAAGAAGTTGACAGACACATTTCAGGTACATGTAAATGAAGAGAAATTAAATGTAAAGTAATTGGTAAAAAAATCATACATACATAAACTGTCAATTTTGGACTTATTGGTGTAAGAAAATGTTGATTTCCCTAAAATGCTTTGCCCAATATAACATTCATTATATATACTTCTACTAAATTCTTTTATCAGATCTAATAAGGTTCATGATATTTTTTTTATCTGTTTATACTGTTTGATTTACTTAGATTAACATGACTGTATGACATATGCAAATTCATCTTCAAATAAGCTGCAACAATTGCAAAGTCAAATGTTCAAGAGTTTTCCAAAAACCTTTTTACCCCTGTCAACAAAACATGAATTGTGCCAACCAGTTTTGCATGGAGTGGCAAACAAGAAGTATGATGCTAGTTTATTGAAGTACCATACTGCAAATTCTGAAGTAGAATCATAAAAACTAAGTCAGTTAAGATATCTGTATGATGCTGAGTATGATTGAAATAAATACTAAAGAAAGATGTAATAGTAAGATATAATTTGTGGCATTGAAATTTTCATATGAGTTTCATGACCATGTTTTAAGTAGGTCTGAAAATAGATCCAGACATAGTTCCAAAACATGTAGTACATGAAGTTCATCAAACAATCAGGTCAAGTAGTAAAATTAAATTTTTTTTATTAAGTTAAATTATTTCTTGTTTAAAACAAAATGACGCTGTGTCCTATGAAAAAAGCTACTAAGTATTCAGTTTTGTTTCATACTAAATATTTCAGTAATTTTATCTTGGAAAAGTGCATCATATCATTGTTAGCCATGGTCAAAACAGCGTTTTAAGGGATATTTAGTATTATAGTGTGTCAGTCACGTTGTATCTAAAAATAGAAGATCGGAAAAACGAATTGTCTGCTTTACTAATTTACATATAGAGAAGGGACTTGGGAAGGTTAGAGGTATCAGGGGGGTTTCCTTATTGTTTATGTATGTTATAGAAGGCAAATTTCATTTTCCACTTTAATTCTATTGATTTGACAATTATATAAAACAAATTTATCTAAAAAATAACATATATAACCTTAATAAAAGCTGAAGGCTGCTTTGAAGAATTCTATGAAATGGCAGGCAGTCAAACACAATATGATTATCATAAGTCGCACATAAACAACTTAATTCTTTTTACATCAAGTTCAAAGTTGGAAAATGATCAATCTTGTAGAGAAGCTTCACATTTTTTAAATCATTCCATATCGTTCAGTAAATATGACTTCCTTTTTTTCCCAGCCAGCTGTTCTTGATGTTATCAATGAAAGTAATATGCACAGTGTACCTAAAGGTATGTAATTTTGTTAAATGTAGGTATTTTATGAACAAATGATAAACAAGTTATACTTAGACTTGTTTTCATTTCAATTCCAACTTAAGTAAGATGTATAACTATACAATAAGTGTTGATTCCAATATTGAATTTATTGAACAAGTTGAGTAAAATTATATAATGTGAGCTTGTGGCGAGCATAATATTATTTTATTAAGCTTGTTCAATAAATCCTGTAATGAACCTACACGAATATATATATTCTATTTATCGCATATCCAAAATAGAAACTGTTTAAAGTGCAAAAGAATCATTTTTCATTGACATGCCAATAGTGTAACGCTAACAATTTGTGCATCTTAACACTATGTTTGTATAACGTAATTGAAGTCACACCAAAATATATGCACGGCCATACAATACCATTTTTACAGTCACAAAATGGGCACGGTGATGTGATAAATTCTTATTATTTTATACTATTAATACACATAGAGGCAGTCAGTTACAAGATTATTTTATACTATTAATACACATAGAGGCAGTCAGTTACAAGTTTAAGTCAATGTTTTGTGATGTATTATAGTATGAAAATTAATATGACATTTAGGATTTTGAAGCACAGCTTTTAAGTTTTATGTTTAAATGCCTACTTACGCATCATGTAAATAAGACCTACACCTCAATTAAATAAAAATAAACAATTTCCAACAACTTCTTACAAAAGTTATATATAGTTGTTACTGAAGGGGAGCGATGGTCTAGTGGTTAAGGTCATGGGTTTGAGCTCTATTATCTATTTTATATTTCCAGGTTCAGAAACTCATTTTAAAGTTGTTGTGGTCACTGACAAGTTTGAAAGTTTGCCTCTTATCAAGGTACGGTAATCAAGTGTTCCTATCAGGTTTGTTCTATTATTTGAGCCGCGTCATGACAAAACCAACATAGTGCGTTTGCGACCAGCATGGATGCAGACCAGCCTGCGCATCCGCGCAGTCTGATCAGGACCCATGCTGTTCGCTTACAAACCCTATAGCAAGTAGAGAAACTGAAAGTGAAAAGCATGGATCCTGATCAGACTGTGCGGATGCGCAGGCTGGTCTGGATCCATGCTGGTCGCAAACGCACTATGTTGGTTTTGTCATGACACGCCTCATTTTGGCGTGATCCTTTACGATCAATTATGTCAATACATGTAATTGGAAAAAGAAGACATACTGACTGTGTTAAGGGTGTCTGTCTGACTACCCTACAAGGCTAACAACATCCATGTTTCCCCATATGGCATCAGTACTGGTAAGTTCCAGGAAGAAAAGTGATTGAAATAGGTTCAGATAAGATACAAGCTTTCATCATATTCAAGTTAAACTAAATTTATTATGTACATGTACACATATTTTTAATATTGGAAGGGAGATAACTCAATTGCTTACTGATAAAAATATATGATGATTAATCTTCAGTAAACAATATTAAACATTTGCTTATGTTTACTAAGTCACGATTTAATATTGATGCAGATGAAAATAAGCCTCAGAATTTAAAATATTTTAAGTGAAACATTTACATTTGATCTTAAACTAAGTGCCTTGTTTATTTGATCCAACAACCTTTTAAATGAAGACCAACTTGTCAATTTGTTTCACTTCTTCAATGTCCTATAACTAACAAGTGTCAATAGACCTATGCAGTTAATTACATGTATAACTTTAGTGTTTTTATACATGTAGTAAATCACTTTTATCTGTTGAAATGAAATCAGTATCATGTGTTTCTAGTAGTAGGAAAGGTTGATCAAAAAAGTATGTTAGTACTATTACTTTGGAGCAAAAATTGATTATTGAATTAAAACTTAAGTGATGTGAGGTAAATTCACATATACAATATGTTTAAAATATATAATCACTTAAGATTAAGGGTGACAGTTGAATCATTCCAGAGTTTTAAGTACAACCTACTTATTTGGCAATATTTTAATATTCTACTTACAGCTACATTGTACATATATTCATAAAATATAACAAGGGGAACAAAATTAATCATGTCTGGAATATGTCCAGAATCCTCTTTGGCAAATATTTAAAGTGAGCTCAGTATCCATATATCTTTAAATTTAACTTGTCTGAATATGATGAAAGCATAATATAATTTTTTTGCTCTTCTTTGATACTACAATGTAGTATATGCGTATTACAAAGCTTTTCACTGATCCAAGTCTTTTTTACCATCGCTGGAACAATTGACCGCCTCCGTGGTCAAGGGGTTAGAGTTGATGACTTCTAATCCAGTTACCTCTCTGGCGTGGGTTCGAACCCCGGGAGATGCTTTGGTAGTTTAGATTGGAGGAAGGTAGTCTAGTACTGGTGTAACTCTCCAGGAACGATGGTTAGGAAACTACCCGCCTATATGACTGAAATACTGTTGGTAAAAGGCGTAAAATGAAACAAACAAACAAGCAAACTGTAACAAAATAATGTTCCATCAAAACTGTTGAAAAACAGTTTTGCAAACTGTCTTATTACTTATGGATCAACATTTAAATCAGTGATTATTCACCTTATATAACAGAAGCCTATAAAAGGCCTCTTCCCAGTTGAAATTTTTCTTTAAAATAATGCTGTTTTCCCAAAAATGTAAGCTTACAACACAGCTTTTTTACTTCTCAAATTAGCAATTTTAGTAATAATATTCACAAAACTCAAGAGGCTAAGGCCTCCTCCTAATTAAGAGAGAAAAGCCACTGACTTTACCACAACCTAGCATTCAGGACACCATTAACAGTGTATCTTTTAACTATTGTAAATGTTTTTCTTACATGTGAACGATAATTGATGCAGGTAGCTTTACATGAATGGTTGGAAATGTTTATGTTTTATTTCAGAGACATCGTTTGATAAATGATACATTACAAGAAGAATTGCAGACTGGAGTGCATGCTCTGTCAATTATAGTAAGTTGGACATTTTTTAATTTATCAGTACTGGTCAATTTATTTCGAAGATTAGATTTTTGATATTCTTAAATGAGTAAAATAAATCTTCAAAAAAATCAAACTGAGAAATAAGAAAGTTATTTTCTACTTGTATAGATATTAACAAACAATTGAAACTTTTAATGTATTATACAAAATCTGACATAATTTACTATCTTGATCAAAATTGTGAACAGTGACTAACAGATTGAGGGAAATCTGCATATTTGAAGGTAAAATTTAAGGTTATTTCTGTGAAAATAACATGCCAAAAACTTGGTTAAATCACTTAATTTGTTCACTTGACAACATTTTACTTATTAGGGAACTTTTTAAGGAACTCATATTTGGAGGCATTTGGTTTTAAAAGAGCTCCCAGAATGTTAAAAGTAATCAGATATTTTCTGGCCTTTTAGCGTCACTTTTCCAGGTTGATGGTCATACATAGAAACTGAATGTAAAGACACACCTTGAGGAGTTCTCCCTGGTCAAAAGGTCAAGGTCACTGATGCCTGTACAATTTACATTCTGTTCCAATATCTGACCAAGATCTTAGTTTGGGCTTTAAAAATTTCTTAATAACCTGTTATCAAGGCCCTATACTGTTGGGCACTCAATTTTAGAATTTTGATTTTGAACTGCATGCAGATATGAACTACCGTATTGTTTCCATTTATCGCCCCCGGGGCGTTGCAAAAACGGAAACGGGGGGCGTTAATTTTCATAAAATGAAAATTAATTTTATGTTTAAAAATATCTAAAAATCTCCCAACTATTTTCGTCCTATAAACCCCTTGTTCACGTACAATAAATAAGCAGCACAAAATTATTGTAGACAATACGGTAGTCCGTTGACCGAGATAAACTTTGTCAAGACTCTGGCGGAAAATTATGACGTAACACACATCAGTTTACCTGTGTGATGATTTAATCAATACACAATTAACAATGGAAGGTTGCACTTCTAAGAAAACGTACATGAATGCATTCAAACTGGAAGTTGAATGTTACTTGGAAGTTACAACAGTTAGTTTTTTTCTGTTTATTTTTTTAAATACACTTCGGATATTAAAATTTTCAAGTCAGGTAAGAATTTTTTTTTTCATTTTTCACCCAGGGGGCGCCAATTAGAAGGGGGGGCTATTAATAGAAACAATACGGTATTGTGTTACTCTATTTATGTTACTCTATTTTTAGGCTAAAACACCAAAACAGTGGGAGGACAGTGGTGGTCAAGTGTCCAAATCTCCTCCTTGCCAGGGAGGGGCCGGCTTGTGATAGTTAGTTATTGGTAATTAAAAGATAATCTTGATACTTCGATGTTGTGCTAGTTTAACAATGGTGAATCAGTGCACATACAGAACCCCCCAATGTAAAATGAAGTGCTCATCATAAGAAATGATGTATCCTATGTGATGGACATGACTTTATATAAAGATTTTGCTTCCTACAATACTTGGAATTATATAAGAATTGGTTTTTACACTTCTACATACATTATTGTTGACCTAATAAATCTGAAAACTTACACAATTTGTGAATTTTTTTCAACCTGGCAAATAAATGTTTGGTTACCAGTTACACCTTGTTATATATTGAAGAAAGAACATGGAGCAGATACTATTGTATGCTTTCAAAATTGTGAAGCTGAGGTTATCGGTGGTCCAAGTGGTTATAGTTGTTGATTTCAAACCACTTGTCCCTCACCACTATGTTAGAATCCCCCACGGGACTTTGTTTCTATCCTGTATGGAAGCAAACCAGCTAACAGATTGTCAATGGTTCCTCTAAGGTGAGGTCTACCTCCACCAGTAAAGCTGAAAAATTGCCATATGACCTCTTCTGTTCTGTGCTATGGAAAAAAGAAGGGTTTATGCCTTAACTTGTTTTCTTTTCTAAATAACCTGCTTGTTTTAAGTAATAAATTTTGCCATTAAATTTTGCACACATTTTGTTACTTAGTTTAATTATTCTGATATTCCAATGTCATAATGAGATATAAGATTTATATATCAAGGGGAGTAACTATCATATGAAATTCATTATAAGTTTTGGCCCTGAGGTTATAAAACATTTTCAGAGTTCTGTCTTAAATCTCAGGATTTTCACTGATCAATGTATATTCTGTCCTCTTTCTGATCTTTCAAATACCTGAGATCCAAGCTTGAACTTAGAAAAAGTGTTTTAAATGTTGGACCCAGACTGGTCGCAAGGTTATCAAGAAATTTCTTAGCTTAGTTATATGATAGGCCAGAAACCAGATCAGATTGTGCAAAGACCAATGAAAATCCTAAGATTTGAGACTGATCTCAGAAAAATGTAATATAACCTTGAGGCATAGAAATGTTTTAAGAAAACAAAAGAACAGTGATGGTTAAAGTTTGCTTCATTTATATTGTTCTACTAAGTACATCTTGGGTGTATTTAGCTTTATACTTTCAATGATTAACCGTTACCTTACTAAATACCTTAAATGGTTTTGTACAATTTATAATCTTTGCAAAACCATCATTTGAAGATATGTTGAATATGGAACAGTGTAGAAGGTGAGGTATTAACTCAGCGCCTTTCCAATATTTCTCAATAAAACTTAAGGAAAACATGGCACCCCTTTTTAATTCTAATATAATGTTAACTTGTTACAAGGAGTAAATTGCACATTGACATGTTGCTTCACTTAAATGAGCCGCACCATGACAAAACCAACATAAAGTGTTTGTGACCAGCATGGATCCAGACCAGCCTGCGCATACGCGCTGCCTGATCAGGATCCATGCTGTTCGCTATCAGTTACTCTACTTGTAGGGTTTGTAAGCGAACAGCATGGATCCTGATCAGACTGCGCAAATGCGCAGGCTTGTCTGGATCCATGCTGGTGGCAAACGCATTATGTTGGTTTTGTCATGACGCGGCTCAAATATCATGTTGCATTTTGTTTTAATATAAAACAACACATGCTTTTTACTGAAATATTTTAATATGATAAATTGCATATGATTTCATTAAACAGTTCTAAATACAATACTTCTCTAAAACTTCATAATTATGTAAAATACAAATGAGTTACAGTACAATAATATTACCCTCTCGGTTTGAAAAAACAAACAAACAACATTTTCCTTCAAGTTAAATAAATGCTCTATTGTAGATTTCATTTTTCAAATGACAGTTGTATAATAAGAACATTTCTCTTATCACCAGGTTTAGTTAGTTTTATAAATGCTGTATAACAAAAACTATTTGATATTCAAATATCATAATGAGATATAAAATTTATACATCAAGGGGAGTAACTATCATGTGAAATTCATAAGTTTTGGTGAGGTTATAAAACATTTTCAGAGTTCTGTCTTAAATCTCAGGATTTTCACTGATCAATGTATACATTTGTATTCTGTGGCTCTTTCTGATCTTTCAAATACCTGAGATCAAAGCTATAGCGGTAATTTTATTATGTTTTGCACTGATAAAGGCATATAGCCGAAACGTATGCAATAAAATTTAATTACTGAATGTTCGTGTTTGTGTGGCTTGTCTGTTTATTTTGAGATCAAAGCTTGAACTTAAAAAAGGTGTTTTAAATTGTGGACCCAGACTGGTCGCAAGGTTATCAAGAAATTTCTTAGCTTAGTTATATGATAGGCCAGAAACCAGATCAGATTGTGCAAAGACCAATGAAAATCCTAAGATTTAAGACTGATCTCAGAAAAATGTAATATATCCTTGAAGCATAGAAATGTTTTAAGAAAACAAAAGAACAGCGATGGTTAAAGTTTGCTTCATTAATATTGTTCTACTAAGTACATCTTGCGTGTATTTAGCATGTACTTTATACTTTCAATGATACATCGTTAACTTGCTAAATACCTTAAATGGTTTTGTACAATTTATAATCTTTGCAAAACCATCATTTGAAGATATGTTGAATATGGAACAGTGTAGAAGGTGAGGTATTAACTCAGCGCCTTTCCAATATTTCTCAATAAAACTGAAGGAAAACATGGCACCCCTTTTTATACGCCCGTTTGAAAAACGGGACGTATTATGGGAACGCCCCTGGCGGGCGGGCGGCGTCCAATTTTGTCCGGAGCATATCTCCTACATGTATGGAGGGATTTTAATGAAACTTCATAGAAATGTTCACCACTGTGAGGAGATGTGTCGCGCACATGAACCAGGTCTGTAGGTCAAAGGTCAAGGTCACACTTAGAGCTCATTGAAAAATGCTTGTCCGGAGCAAAACTTCCACATGTATAGAGGGATTTCAATTTTACTTGGCACAAATGTTCACCATTGTGAGGCGGAGTGTCGCGTGCAAGATTCAGGTCCTTGCGGCCAAGGTCAAGGTCACACATAGAGGTCAAAGTTCAGATAAAAATATGAAGATGTGTATATGGACCATTTAGTCATCATTTATTGAGGGATTGTAACACAAATGGTCATTATCAAGACTATGGCTGTGATACATATGATTTAGGTCAATATATACAAGGTCAAGGTCACTAAAGATGATGAAATATCCAGATTTTGTAAATAGAATTTAATCAAAGGGTGACAACAAAGTTATTACTTACACAATTACTCCCCTTGATCTACTTTCACTTTCAATTCTAAAAATAGAATTTAATCAAAGGGCATGAAATAATCCTCTTTCTTGGACTTGAGTATGTTCTAAAGAATGTAACATTTATTTACACATGTTTCATTCATTGGTCAAGATTCTTAACTGTGATAACTATGGTGTTCTGTAGACTTTGTATTTGTTCATAAAGATCATACAGTAATTACCTTATCAAATGTAAATACTTTCTCATAGAAATTTAATTATATTTTAATTTTCAAGTAAATATCAGTTCAGCTCATTCAAAGATTAAGAATTGTAATGAAATGTATTTCCCTAGAATAAAATCTTAAATCAGAATTTTTTAGTTATTAAATTACAATTACATGTTAAAAAAAGATAAAAATATGAAGATGTGTATAGGGACGATTTAATCATCATTTATTGAGGGATTGTAACACAAATGGTCATTATAATGACTACGGCTGTGACACATGTACTTTAGGTCAATATATGCAAGGTCAAGGTCACTAAAGATGGTGAAATATCCAGATTTTGTCTGGAGCATATCTCCTACATGTATGGAAGAATTTTTATAATACTTTATGGAAATGTTCACCACCATGATATGTATTGCTCCATGCATGATCCAGGTCAAAGTCACACAAAACTTCTACATTCATAGGGGGTTTTCAATATAACTTGGCACAAATGTTCACCATTGTGAGGCTGAGTGTCGCATGCAAAATTCAGATCCCTGCGACCAAAGTCAAGGTTACACATAGAGGTCAAAGTTCAGATAAAAATTTGAAGATGGTTATAGGGACCATTTAGTCATCATTTATTGATGGATTGTAGCACAAATGGTAACTATCATGACTACAGGTGTGACACATTTAATTTAGGTTAATATTTGCAAGGTCAAGGTCACTGGAGATGATTAAATATCCAGATGTTGTCCGGAGCATATTTTCTACATGCATGGAGGAATTTTAATGTTACTTTTATAGAATTGTTCACCACCATGAGACGTAGTGCCCTGCACATAAACCAAGTCTCTAGGTCAAAGGTGAAGGTCACAGTTAGAGCTCATAGAAAAACACTTGTCTGGAGCAAAACTTCTACATGCATAGAGGGATTTCAATATAATTTGGCACAAATGTTCATCATTGTGAGGCTGAGTGCCATGCATAAAATTCAGGTCCCTGCGACCAAGCTCAAGGTCACACATCCTGTGCATATCTTCCCTACTGATTTGTTTTAAGGTTCATTTAACAATACAGTGCCAAGAATAAAAACTTGCTTGCTAGATAACACTTATCCATAATGCCCCCATCTCCATCTAAAGCTTTCGTAAACGGGCGTATTTTGTGACTATGGCACCCTTGTTAATTCTAATATAATGTTAACTTGTTACAAGGAGTAAATTGCACATTGACATGTTGCTTCACTAAAATGAGCCGCACCATGACAAAACCAACATAATGTGTTTGCAACCAGCATGGATCCAGACCAGCCTGCGCATCCGCGCAGTCTGATCAGGATCCATGCTGTTCGCTATCAGTTTCTCTACTTGTAGGGTTTGTAAGCGAACAGCATGGATCATGATCAGACTGCGCAAATGTGCAGACTTGTCTGGATCCATGCTGGTCGCAAACTCATTATGTTGGTTTTGTCATGACGCGGCTCAAATTTCATGTTGCATTTTGTTTTAATATAAAACAACACATGCTTTTTACTGAAATATTTTAATATGATAAAATTGCATAATTATGATTTCATAAAACAGTTCTAAATACAATACTTCTCTAAAACTTCATAATTATGTAAAATAAAATACAAATGAGTCGCAGTACAATAATATTACCCTCTCATATGGTTTGAAAAAACAAACAAACAAACAACAGTTTCCGTCAAGTTAAATAAATGCTCTATTGTAGATATCATTTTTCAAATGACAGTTGTATAATAAAAACATTTCTCTAATCACCAGGTTTTGTTAGTTTTATAAATGCTGTATAACAAAAACTATTTTCAAATAGTACTGATTGGTTTAAAATAAAATTGTATAAACTAAATCAAAACAATCATTTTATTTCTGATTTAAATGATTTGGCAATATTTCAACAATAGCCCAGTATCGCTCACCAGAGATTACATTTTGTTTGAGAAAGAGTTACAAGAAAAATACTGTTGGAAATTTTCCAAGAGCTACACATGGTTTGATGTATTTGACATCATTACAGGAAAATGTGGCTGAAGATTTGATGCCAAAAAATTGTTTTGACAACCTGAGTTTGAAAACTTTATTTTCATTTAACATCAATGGAGCTGCAGTCTTCAAGAGCAGCAATGTTTTTGTATGGCCATTGTTTTTGGTTATAAATGAACTTCCATATAAAATTAGGATGAAAAAAAAGAGAACATGCTCCTTGCAAGCCTTTGGTTTGGAAATAAAAAACCAAGTATGAGTACATTTCTTAAACCATTCCAGAAGAGTATGAGTTTGCTATGTAATCATATACAATATAGTGGAGCATTTGCTTGTTGGAAGTGTAAACAGGAAGGGAAGGGAAGACAGCTAAAGTTGGCATAGGACATGCTTGTGTCATAGGACAAGAATTTAAGTATGTTCAATCGCTTCATATTCTAATAAAGTATGAAATTAACTCAATAAAAGTATTGTTTGTTACTTGTCCCTAGTCCGGACCAAAGATCCTGTTATGTCCTTTAGTTCTATATCACTCGACTCTTATCATCTATAACCTGTCACCCGTAGCTAGATATCCCATGTCTCAGTGTTTTGTGCGATGCTTCATTGCACTTAACATTTTGTCATAGCATACGTACCACGTTTATTATTATATATTATAAATATGTGTTATAAATAAATATCTTGGATATTGAATTGTTATTTATCTTACATTATTCGGAGTTAACATATAATAGAATGTAAAATTTGTATAATCCAATAAGGCCATTATTTTTTTATATTTCAGTTTACTGCCCCGCCTAATTTTGGATTGGCAAATTGGATGACAGTCATAAAAATGTAATAAAACAGATTTTATTTTCCATATTTTTTAATGTTTTTCAGATTCGGGTATCAATACACTTACGGTGTTCTTTTCAAAGAAGCAGTTGTGTATTCCCTTTGTTTAAGGAATTTACCATACGAAGACGCTGATCGTCGTTGTCGTGTAACTGAATATGATTATACAACCAGAAAAAAAAGGGATCTGTTGAATAGTTTTTCAACTTTATCACACAGTAATGACCAGCCTTTTTCACAATAGCAAAATGCCATGAGTCTGTCAAGTTATATCAATGTCTACATTGTAACGGCTATTTTGGACATCATTAATATAACATATAGACAATATATGTCCTTCAGTTCTTCTATTATCACTTGACTCTATCATCTATACTTATCATTACTAACCTGTCACCCTTAGCTAGGTATCCTATGTCCGAGTGTTAAGTTTTGTCATCGCATTTGTACTACGCTTATTATTTTATATTATAAATATGTGTTATAGATAAATATCTTGGATATTTACAGGTTAGTTATCTTAGATTATTCGGAGATAACATATAATAGAATGTGTAATTTGTATAATTAAATAATTGGGCTTATTGCATATTTGCAATAATGCCTTGTTTATTTCAGCAAAGTTCCAATGGAAAGGGGGATAATCAGGTATTTCTATATTGGGGAATTGATACACAGTTGTCTTTCTTGTAATCTATGACAGGAAGTAGATTATGATTATCTGCCCTTCTCAATTCCATGCTAAGCAGCAGCTTTCAATCTGAATTGTTTTAAAACAAAAAAATTAAATCTAAATAAATCTAAGAATTTCTAAAGATGCCTGGAAGAGGAAAGGGAGCAGGGAGGAAGAGGAAGGCCTCTGAGGCACTTAAGGATAGAGGAGATGAGGAAAGAATAAACATTCTAGAGGAGCAGGCTCCACAACAGGGCGAGGTGATTGATTTTGAGGAGATTATTTCAAAATCCTTAATGCTACCTCTATCAAATGACAATGACAATCCAAACCCAGAAAATGATAATAAATAAGAGTAAGATAAAAAGAGATAATTTAAATAGGATTGTTAACTCACCTTTTTGACTTAGGATATGTACAGGTAACCTTCATAAGCTGTTAGTGATTTATTATATAAATATACAATTCATTGCAATTGATGTAATATTCTATTAAATGGCACTTAACATTTTGTCATAGCATATGTTCTATGTTTATTATTATATATTAATAAAATTAATTATTATTATAATAAATATTTGTTATAAATAAATATCTTGGATATTTACATGTGTTGTGTCTTTGTCTTATATACATGAACCAATACAAATAACTGTAGACTGGGCTACATCAACACTTTTATTTTCCTTTGTGATGCAGTGAACCCAAAAGAACACCCAAGAATGTTGTTGAAAATGCACAAACTACAAATTGGTTTGAATTGTTCAATCACTGTTAAAGGAATAAAGGGGCCATCATGGATGCTTTTTCCCCTAGCTACATTATTGTAGGCATTGCTATAGATTACATGCACAGGGTTTTGTAAAGAGTTGAGAAACTATAATTGAATTGTGGTTTTCACAGAAGTTCTCTGTCAAACATAACAGCCTCTACAACAAACTAAGTACAGTTGATAAAATACTTCTAAGCATTTGTCCAACCTTGATATAGCACGTCTGCCAAGATCACAACTTGATGTGCAGCATTGGAATTTGAATATCTGAATTAAGATAATTTCTTCCGTTTTACAGTGCTCCTGTACTTCAAGGTATATTAGATGATGAACACTTTGCCCACTACTTATTATTAGTAAATTCCATGCATAAACTTCTCAAATGTGGTTCATCAGAAAGACAAATTGAACATGCTGAAACTATGCTGCTGGAATTGTGTACATTTCCAGGACTTGTATCAGGAGTGTTTCATGAGGCTTAATATACATCAGTTGTTGCATCTCCCAGACTGTGTTCGGAACTTTGGGCCACTTTACATTAGTAGTTGTTTCAGTAATGAAAATATGAATGGAGGATTTCTGAAAATGATCAGAGGTAGCCAAATATTGATAATCAGATTGTGACAAGAGTTTCTTTTGTACAAAAACTGTCAGAACTGAAAAAGCAAATGTATTGAAAATGGATCAGAATGTGAAAAGATTTACAATTCTATTGACTCTACAACAATTTTGAAAAGAAGTATAACTGTAGAAAAGGGATTTTATATTCTTGGTGGAATTTCAGAAAGAACATTAGCACCAGATGAATGTGAAGCCTTTCAGACATTTATTGGTGCTGACAATATGCATGAAAAATACATGTCCTTTAATAGAATTGACCTCAATGACCATTTGACATATGGGCTGGTTAAACAAGAATGGTAAAAAGAAATAATTCTGTGATAGAATATAATAAACATGAAGCAGGAAATTGCCAACTTACAGACAATGTGTTCAGTGGATAGAAGGCAAAACCATGAGTGAAATACAGAACCTTAAAAGTTCAATTTCATGGTTTTTTTGAGAATCAATAAAGAATCAAAAAGATGGGGTAAAATAAAGTAAAAGTCTTGTTTATCAATTATTACAGATCTATTTCTTTAGGTGATGATCATCTTGATTGTGATATTTACATGAAAATAGCATTTTACAATGTCATCAATAATGCTTTCTGTTTTTTTTGTGTTTTTTTTTAATTATATACATGTAGTACTCATTTTTTTTGCTTATAAAAGTTTTGATATTACCAGTCTTCATGTTCCTCATTACAACAGATGTACTTGGGCCATCTGGTACTTACCATAGAGTCAGGGATTAATGGGAAGCCCATTGTGCCAAAAAAGGACTTAAATCGGTTTATATCGGATAATAGATTCAGTGTGCTATTTCAAACAGCAGCTGAAGTTGTTTTTCATCATAATAAAGACTTTTATTACAATACTTCATCATGGGGGACATAATTCAAGATGATAGAGCCACAATGACAACTGAAAATTATGAGGCTGTTGCCATTGTAAAGATAGGACTCAAGAGGAAGAGTGTAACAGCAAACAAAATGGTAGTCACTCCAAACATGAAGAAGTGTGTAATTCATGCACATGCCACATACCAACAACACCAGAGATTCAAAAATGAAGGTGCAGCTAGAAAGAGGAGATGTAAAGTCAAAGAAAGTAATGATAATTGTGCATTGGAGTTTTTTTTTTAATCTCACTGGCCCATATTGGAATTATACAGTCCAAAGTAAAATTCCATATTTGAAGCTACACATGGAAGTGTGTACTATCCTAGATTTTCTTGAAGAATGCATCGTCAACCCGGCAACAATTTTCCAACAATACCCCTTCAGTGAAAATGACACCATAAAAGTTCCATATCATGAGTTAGTAATGAGTAAACTTGTCAACATGAATGAAAACTCAATGTACTGAGAAATTCTTCTGCGAAAACAATATCCTGTGCAATGAAGCCTAATGTCGAAAAACAATTAGCTGAATTTTTAAATGGTCAGTACAACCCAGGAATCAGAACTACAGGAATTAAAGAGAACAATTTTTGCACAAATCACAAGTCTGAGCTGCGAACATCATTTTGGTGATCTCGATAGCAGTCAAAGACAAAGACCAAGTGCTTCTCTCCATCACCACACATCAGTTCAATTACTTAAAAGAAATAGAAATACAATGATGAACTGGCTAAAAATATGCCACACAACAATCTTTCTAAAATGATGATGGAAGGTGGAAAACTCTTGAGAAAGTAACACCAAGAACAAGAAAATACAGTTTTTTCTCAACTTGTGCATTGTTAATGCTTTTATTTTATATTAACATTCCTCAACGCAAGTAACAAGGAAAAGCTCTACACATCTTGATTTTAGACTATAATTACTGGTCATTTGCTTTTTTAAAAGCAGAGGAGAGTTCATCTTCAGCATTTAGTAAGGGCAAGTCATGATCTACAGTATGATCTACAATCGAAGAGGAAGAAAAAATACAGGTTACTGTATCCAACCAAGAACGGTTGCTATCACCACAAGCTATCCTGCAAAGATCATCAAAAATGTTGAGTAAAGATGTGGAATGTAGAATGGAGCGAACCCAACCCTGCGCGACTCCCAAAGTGCGATATAGCCAATGCTTATCCCAGAGTCATGTGTTCCAGTATCATTGGCTTCTGTGTTGGTTTACTTTTCTGTTAAAGGTGAATTTGCAAAATTGCCTATATTTTACAAATTTTTATAAAATTTAATAGGTAGATTTCAAAAATCCTTATGAAAAAATGTTTTGTAAACTCCTTTTCTAAAAAAATGTGATTTAGTAAGTTGTTTTTTCCGTTACGCTATCTGTAATTTCCGCCGCCATTTTTGGTGATGACGTAGGAATATCTCTATCGATCCGTGTCGAACTGCGTGACAGCCATTCGTGTGTCAACATTTCCCGCGTATACATCAAAATAGCGAAATGTCAGTTGTGTATATTGTGTGTGTAATAAAGGAAGGTGCATTTAACACTGTTTAAAGGATTTACTATTGTTTTATTTGATAATTTATCCCAGTAATTTGTGTTCGTAAGGAAAACATGGTGCACTGTGTGGCATTTGGATGCCTTAACAAAAGTGACGGTGGAGCAAAAGGTTTTTTTTCTATTTCTGAAAGATGATTCTTTGAGGAAGAAGTGGACAAATGCCGTTAGATCTTTGAGAAATTTTAACGGAATGTTAAAGCCATTTATGCCGACGAAAACTTCACGTTTGTGCTCTAGACATTTCTCTGACGAGTCATTTTTTCATCCACCAAGAATAATGAACTCAGTTGGTTTGACTTTGAAACTACAGCTAGTAAAAGGTGCTGTCCCTACAATTTCCCCTGAAATTGAAGCGTTTAAAGACAGCAACAAACCTTCATCAGTAAGCCACCTAGGGCCACCAAAGAGGAAAAGGACATCCTATAGAGACTTTGAGAAAAAAATAATAGAAAATTGGTAAGATCTATGCATTTGTACAAGTTCCAAAATTACAGTTATCTGTTGCAAATATATTAGGCTTCAGTATACTAATTAAATAGTTTTTGTATACTCAGCACTGTATTATTTAAGTCTCAATTTTTTTACTGCAAGAATGACCTATTTTAGAAACTGATATTAGAAAGATATGTCGGTCAAAGGGGATCATAATCTACATAATAAAATGCCCTTGTGCTCAATTTTTTGGGCTTTTGTGGTATGGTAAATGCATGTGACACAGGCATCACCGGACTCTTGGAAGCTCCCAAGCTTTTATTTTTAGAAAGGTGAGGAAATGAGCTGCTCAAGGCTGTTTTTTCATGTGTCAAATCCCGCTAGGTTGGTAAAATAAATGTTGATCGTGTTATTCAACTGCTTTGCTGCCAGAAATTCCTACAAGTTTTGTAACAGTAATACTAACGCAATTTTCATGAATTTTAGGAAAAATAAGTTTATAAAAGTATGTTTAATACAATTAGATACTGAAAAGAGCAATTTTAAAGCGAGCTCAGGGACCTTTAAGATCCATTTTCTATGAAACTTTAAAAGCTTTTCAATACTTACTTGGTATAAATGTTTATTGTCATGAAAGAATGCCATTTCAAAAAGGCAAATAATCTAACAAGAGCCACGGCCATGCCGGGCATCACTCTAGGCAAGCTGATATCAAAGTTCAATTGTACAAAAAACTATGGTCAAGGTCAATTAAAGGTCAAGGTCAAATCTTAATTATTCAATATGTTTTTTTGGTACCGTAACAAGTAGTGTTTTGTCCAAGTATGGGTCAGATCTTTACAAAAATAACAAAATTATGACATTTTAACCAAAATTCATTTGACCTTGACAGTCAAAGACATTCAAAGCTCAAGGCCATCAAAGTCAGTTCAACCCTTTTGTCTTGTCAAGAAGGTTGTTTTGTTCAAGTCACCCATTCATTAATTACAGTCAATTATAGTAAAATTCAGTGAAAATTCAAAAATTTAATCATTGAAGGTAGTGTTGGGTGTCAGACTCAAAAATCAATATCGATAATCGGACCACCACAATCGATTGTCTGCCGATTGTATAACCGAGATTCGCACTTATTATGGCCCTTTTTTTCATTTAAAGTACCAATCCCTGTATTCTTTATACAGTACTAAAAGTGACCACATTTTTAGAATAAATAAACTCTTGTCTCCAAGATTAAAGTCTGTTTTGCTCTTTGAATTCAAAACAAATAACACAAATACCTAATACTACTTTGTGACAGTCAATTTTTGTAAAATACAACTTTATGGCAGTCAATATAAGTACTAGTCAACAGGTCAAAATATTAATGAGTAGTTTTGTAGATCACTAATTTAACTACAGTAGATAATCATTTAAAAGATATATCGTCGGTGGGGGGTCAAAATATCGTAACTCGGTTTTTTAGCAAAATGGGTTTTTGATGCCGCGAAAATTTAAACATACCAGCGCACCGTCTCCCAAAATAGTGTAGCTCTACACCAATGGAAAAGGCGAAAATTGTCACGTGACAAAATCTCGTGTGTCGATTGGATGATTTTGTTGTTTTTGTCAAAACCTCGTATCTTTTAAATTTCACAATATGTTGACGGAGAACGTTGGATAAATTGTTTTTTACATTCAAATCGGTAAGTTAAGTAGATTCTATTTTTGTACTTTCTAAATTACCTACTTTTTAAGGTTTTAATAAATATGCTTAGTCATATCTGTTCAAAGAAGTGTCCTATTGCGGCTGATAGAGAAAATACATTAATTTTCATTGCTTATCTGTATATAATTCTTTCAATCGTTACTAATGTTTGAAATAATTAAACGTAAATAAAGATATTAATTTTCGCTAAAGATAATTTTTGTTCGATTTCTGACGTTTGATGTAATTTTTCGAGATACGAGAATTTGTCATTTCATTTTTCAGATACTAGCAATCAAGATACGAGATTTTACGAGATACGATTATTTGGTATTTCATTTTCTTCCCGTTTTATATCGAAATACGATGTTTTGAAATAGCTTAAAAATAGGTGTTTTAATTCATCTAGAATCATAATGGCGATTTAATTTTATTTTCAGATACGGTTAAGCGGAATGTCACAGTATTCTGGAGAAAGTGATACCGAGTCAACGGGAGAAACTGAATATTTACAATATAAGTGTCACATTTGTCAGTTTGTACCAGATATTAATGAGTTAATTCATATTCTTGAAAAAGTAGTTGACATTGGGCCTTATCTAATTTCTCTTAGAAATGGGCAGTTTTATGTTCGATGTCAGTTCGCTGACTGTGAACGGTATTTTCATCTATTATGTATTCATCCAACATTTCCAGATGAAGCATTAAATTATTCACATTTAGATACATTGAAAGAAAGTGGGATACACTGTCCAGTCTGTGAGCCAGGGATAAAAATTGTAAATTATTAACTATTTTTCAAATATGTTACCACTGGGCAAAACAATGGTAAACTTTTGCTCAAAGCAATCAAAAGGAAAGCCGTGTGTTAGCTAAGAAAATGGTGGTTCAGAATTCTCTTTTAAAACTCATAAAGGTTATGGAACAAGAACAAGTGACTGATACGAGTATTAACCATGACATAAATAATAACAACAAAAACTACAATGAGTTGACACCTTCAAATATTTGTAATAAACCAAATTTTTCAGAAACAGAATATAATAATGAATCAATGGAAGTCGGGTCTACGTGTGTGGAAGACAGTGAATCTGTGTGTTATAAGGCACAAGATATTAATACAGAAAGGACTGAACAAGTTATAAATGGTGGAAATAGTGAGCAAATATCTACTTTAGAAAACAGTGAATCTGTAATCTATAACAAAATTGATTCGATTATCTGTGCTGAAAACAGTGAATCAACAATGAAAACAGAAAACAATGAGTCATGCGCCAATTTAGATAACAGTGAACCGGTGTCAAACACTGAAATATATAAAGATTTTATAGAACTTGAAATATTTGTTCAAAGTGGAGATGCTGAGACTGACATTGAGATTGAAAAGATCGTTGGAATTGTAAACGCTGATAACAGTGTAAATGTGTTTGATGATCGTTCCAATGCAGCAACTGATCAAAATAGTGAATTAGATATTTTCTCTGAATTGCAAAGAGTCAAATGTTACTATATTGGATGAATTTAATGGCAGTGTTGTAGCAGGTGTTAATGATGAATCGATTGGTGGTAAAGAAACTGAGATTGACGAATACTTTCAACAAGCATATTCTGTCATAGGTGAAAGTTCTTTCATTGGAAACAATAGAGACAAAAATAGTGTAAAAGATATTACAACAAATGTTGAAAATGAAACATGTTTGGATCTAGGAGAAAATGAAGAATATGAAGATATAAATAATGACAAAGATGCAAATGACCCAGATTATAATCCTAGTGAAGAGGGTGAATACGCGTCACCATCGGAAGACGATATTGATCATGAAGAAACCGTAGAAAATGAATCTGTAAAGGCAAATGATAAACAAAATGGAAAAGGAGAAAGGCAGAGACATCGTAATAAACAGTTGCGTATGTCAGGGAATGCATACAAAGGAATGAAAAAAGTGGATGGGAAGTGGGGATTCCATGTTGAAAAGTCCGCAAGGACGTTGTCTGAAAAAAGGTGTTCATCACGCTGCCAAACCTCTAATATAAAAAATTGCAAAACCGTAACAGAAGCAGATAGGAGAGAGATATTTACTAATTTTTGGACAAACATGACAACATGGGATGAAAGGCGTGTATATGTAAACTCGCTTATAAATGCTAAAGCAGTGGAGGAACCTACACTTGAAAATGGAAAACCAAGTAGAAGAACTCGAACCCTCACATACCATCTAAGAATTAATGAAGAGCGTATTGTCGTATGTAAACAACTATTTTTGTCAACTCTTGGACTAGGGGAGCAGACAGTATATCAATGGATAGAACAGTCAATATCGGGTGTACCAGATAGATCAGCTGAGAAAAAGCAGAAGCAGTCAGGTAGTAACATGCCATTTAAATGTTTAATACAATTTCTAAATCCCAATTTCTTCTCTATATAAAAAAGTGAGTTTTAAATTAGTGAATGAATAAATTTGTGGGAGTGTGAATGAATAAATTAGTGCGTGCGTGCGTAAGAGTGCGTGAGTTGGTGTGTGTGTTAGTGAGTGAATTACAATATGAATGAGTATCAGTTTAAGTGAATGAGTGATTGACTGAAATATTAAATGTGTTGTTAGCACTTTATAAAAGATATTTGATGCCTTTCTTTTTCAGATACAAGAAAGAAAGCTCAAGAAGAAAGACACGGCCAGCTACGTATGAGTGTCAAGCAATTTCTTGAAAGCATCCCTAGAATGGAATCTCATTATTGCCGTTCATCGACTTCGAAGACCTACCTTGAACCTGTATTTAACTCTCTGACCTGCTTGTATAAAGAATACGTGAAACATTGTAATGAAAGGGTATGTGCGAGTCGTAGAGTATTTACCGAAGTTTTCGAGAGCCTAAATATTGGTCTATTTGTGCCAAAAAAGGACCAGTGTGATATCTGTGTAGGTTTTGATGCAGGTAATATATCCGCTGATATTTACAACGAACATCAGAATAGAAAAATAAATTCACGAGAGGAGAAAAACCGTGACAAGTTATTTTGTCAAACAAACCACTCAGTGAAAGTTCTTACAAAATGGACGTACAAGCAGTTCTACTTTCGCCAAAAATGAATGCAAGCGCATTGTATTATAAAACCAAATTAGCATGCCATAATTTCACTTTGTATGACCTTATAACGAAGCAGGCGACCTGCTACTTTTGGCATGAAGGAATGGGGGATCTTTCGGCTAATTCCTTTGCTTCTTGCTTGGCTGACTACATTGAAAAAATGATTTCCAAAGATGAAGAAATCAAACACATCATTATATATAGTGATGGATGTACCTATCAAAATAGGAACTTGGTAATGTCAAACACTTTATGTCACTTGGCTATGACTCTTGACCTTGAAATCACACAAAAGATCCTCGAAAAGGCCATACTCAAATGGAGGTGGATTCAGTACACAGCGTAGTGGAGAGGAAAAATAAAGAACAAGAATGTTTATGTGCCACAACAGTATGTTGACTTCATCAAGGAAGCCTGTCCCTCTAACCCATATATCGTTGAATACGTTGGCTACGATTTTTTCAAAGCATACTCGGAGTTGGGCTACTATGTTTCAATTAGACCTGGGACTAGGGTTGGAGACCCAGTGGTTAGTGACATTAGAGTTCTTCACTACGAAGCAGATGGTTCTGTACGCTATAAATTGAATTATAGAGACTCATTTAAGGAACTTCCAAGAAAATCTAGAAAATCTTATGTTAAACATACAGAGATAATACCAAAGTTGCACGGTGGTCCTTTGAAGATAAAGAAAACGAAGTTCGACCATTTACAGGCACTTAAAAGTGTTCTTCCAATGGATTATCATGGGTTTTATGACCACCTGAAACATGATTCTTAAAAACATGAAAACGAAATGTATACAGGTGTTTCGTTATGGGACCTTAGTTAAACTATAATTTTCTCTTGACAGTAATATGAAAGTGCCATTTTATTCATTTGAAGTAAAAAGTACTAAATTCATAAATAGTGAATTTAAAGACTGAGAAAGATTGATGTTTCAGTCAATAATGAAGTTAATTAATTTTGTTTGTTTTATTTGTTCAAGTTGAATTTCAAAAGTTTTAAAGATTTGAGTGAGTGAGTGCGTGTGCGTCTGTGCGTGTGCGCGTCGCGAGTGTGCGTGCGTACGTGTGCGTGCGTGCGTATGTGCGTGTGTGTGTGTGTGTGTGTGTGTGTGTGTGTGTGAATGCATAAAAAGACTGAGGAAAGTTGATGTTTAATTCAATTGTTATGTCAAAAGTTAACAGTTTATTAACCAACTCTGTTTAATTTGTTCAAGTTAAATATCAATACTTCAAGGTTTCAAGTTGTTAAAAATAAAACAATGTTCATGAAAATGATATTATATTGTTATTCTACTTCTAAATAAATGCACTTCTTTGATTATCCCTTATGGTCAAAATGTCGTATATGCTATTTTTTAAGGTCAAATTGTCGTACACTCTATATGTCAAAACTGATCAAACCAACTCATAAAAATCAATTATATATTAAAACGTACTATTCATGTTACCACTATACAGGAATTGTTTCCACAGAAGGTTCTTTTAGAAAGAAAGAAATCAAAAAAATGTTCCTCCTGAAAAGTAGCAAAAACTGTTATACGAGATTTTGACCCCCCAACGACGATATAAGTTTATAATGTTTTGTTATTACACACTATAATTTTCTGAAGTGGCATTGAATAAAAAAAATAAATTTAGAATCGTCTGGAATTAAAGAGATTCGGTCGGGAAACTTCTATTTACAGTGTGTAAACAAGTAAGGCCCTAGGCAATTCAGCGGTGGTAGAACATTAAAATAATCGTTTTTTTTTCGCAAATTTTGGGGTGGTCCAATTAGTTATCGATTTTCAGAGACAATCGGGACACCACTAATTGAAGGTCATAAATGGCCTAAGGTAGATTTGAGCTTGATATACTTGAAGGTCTTATTCTTAAGAATGCTATGTCTTAATATGAAATCAATCCATAACAAAGTTATATCGAGTTAAAGCAAAAAAATATATGAAAATTTCAATAATTTGACCCTAAAGGTCAGTCATTTATGAGTTGAAGGTCAGTCTGATTAACTTAAAGGTCTGTACTAATGTATTCAAGTTTGAACAAAATCCTTTCAAAAATCACAAAGCCACTAAAAGCAAAAATCAACCAAAATTTAAATATTGGACCTTGAAGTCAAGTTCATTTATGAACCAAGGTCAAGTTGCAGTCTGGTCTACTTGAAAGTCTTGCACCATGGACTGTTGGGGCCAGCAAAATTTAGATATTAGACCTTGAAGTAAAGGTCATTTATGAATGAAGGTTAAGTTTAGGCTTGTCTACTTGATGGTCCAGCCCCAAGGGCTGTTGTGGCCAAGTATGAAGACAATACACCAAGTACTTTGAAAGAAAGTTATGATATGCAAACTAGTCAAATCGGCCCCAAGTCAGATCGGCCCAAGTCAAATTGGTCCCAAAATTAGTCAATTCGGCCTCAAAATTAGTCAAATCTGCCACACAACAATTATAAAAAGTCAAATTGGCCCCAAAACTAGTCAAATCGGCCCCAAAACTATTCAAATCAGCGTCAGAACTAGTCAAATCTGCCCTAAAGTTATTTTTAAGAAAAATCCTACTTTGGAAAAATAATGTTATTAGCCAAAAATTACAAGATTATTAACTGAGAATTGCACTGTAACATAAATGAACAATAAAGGACAAAATCTTTGGTTAATTGAAGTACTGTACCCGTTTCTTCTGGAAATCGATGATTTCTTGTTTGAAATATAATAAAAAACTACAGTTATAAACTATCTAAATTAACCAAGTACGATTCAAATCCAAAAGTTCTTTTAATTACTGTTTATAACAAACTTTTACTCGAATTTTCAATTTTACAATACCACCAATTTAAAAAAAGAGATCTTTTAGCTTTTGTGTAAAAGAAAGTTTGAGCCACTCAGAGTTTGTAAATGTAATGTCGAACCATATTTGTGATCATACAAGCGGTTTCTCCATAAACAAAATAATTTGCTGTTGACTTCTTTAATTTAAGAATAATTTTTAACAATCTTAGTTGTACTCTCTCTCAGACGCAATATAGGGATACCATACGTGGAAACACGGAGCTGTTGTCCACATGTCGTGGATGTCAGCAATCGCGTGAACATGCTACTTCTACCTTAGAAGAGTCCATGGAAACGGAGATGCCAGCTTCAATGTGTTTATGTAAAATCGTAAAAGTAATTGATGTTTGAACATTCAACATTTAATCATTCAACCTATGCACAGGATTTTATTAATATATGTTACATACATTTTATTCCATTTAAATATATAGGGGTCTGTATGTTGTTTTTAAGATTATAACTCAACTAGAAGCATTATCTATCATTTTGTTTATTTGCAGGATGGCATCGTCGTCTGAACATCAGAGCTGGAGTGTTGCCGCCCTTCTACAATTTGATTAAGCTACTGTACAAAGAAGCAAGATTCATAGAATCGCAAGTGCGACTTGTGTCTGAGATGAAGCTGCGGCCAATGCAAAGAAAGACTTACAGATCTATGCAGTCGCAGATATTTCAAGCTTGAGACAGGTAAATATGATTCATTATTTGTGTCTTACACTAAAGTACCATTTATCGACCATTTCTTTCGATGTCAAGTTGCATTTCATTAATGATATACGAATTTGAACAGAGGCGCTAGTATAATGTTCACAGACTGATTATTGATCATGAAAAATGTGTGTGATACAAGATAAATATAATTAATGTTAATTTCTAATTTGTATAATATCATTCAAATGAATATACATTTACATTATAAATAATTGTTGACTCTTTTAATACTTTCATTTAATTTTTCTGCTTGTGAAACGATCGCGGCAACGGCACTGCTGAAGAAGGTTTCAAGTCTTTACCAACCCAGGGTGCTTAGACAAGAAGCACAGTAATGTGCGAATAGTGTTCAGTGATAAGAAGTGACAATTACATGAGAAGTGACAATTACATGTATACTGTTTCACATTTTTATAGTACATTTTTTGTTCTTGTTTTCTATGCAATCCATTGTTAGTTATTTGGTATTCCCATCCACACAATAGTTTTTTTTATCAATATTTAAATAAGAAAATGAACAATGAATTAAGAAAATTAAAAAAATTGGGCTGATCTGACTATTTTGGGGCTGATCTGACTTGGGGCCAATTTGACTGTAAATCTATGATATAGGTTAAAGTTTGTGGACGACAATGGCAACAGGAACGCTGCCATGGCTAACAATACCTTTTTGTTTTTCCTCAAAAGTCGAGTGCAAAGAAACTCAAGTTATCTCCTTTTATTCAACATAGACTTTTATGTTACAATGAGAAAAGTGGAGTGTGCTTATTAAATACGTGTTTACTGTATTTATTTATTGGTTATTGCTATTAACTGATTATTGCTACTCATTTTTAAGGACTGAGTGATGGTTGAACTACAAGTTGCCTTAGAAAGGAACAGCACATACCTTTAAAATGCTGTTTACAAAAGACAGACAAAAGGCTGCTCGTTGTTCCGCATTAAAGAGTGCATGAACCAGGAAGCTGAAGCAAGACGTGCTCTTGCAGACACGGCCAAATTGAATTTTTTGGAAGGCAATCCAAACAATTGCTTGAAAGTAAAAACAAAGGCACTAGGAAAGGCATGCAATACTGCATCAAACAAAAAAGATAAAGCAGGATTTTATCTAATACCCCGGTCACATATTCACGGAATTATTACGCCCACGGAATAGCCATGGATTAATTCCGGCATCGTCTGTAGCTACCTGTACTGGACAGTAGCTCTTTGTAATGTAACAGTAATCAGTCGTAGTAGTCCTTATCTACTGTAGCGATCATTGACAATTTTTGAACATGCACAAAAATTTGCTACGGAAAAATAATCCGTAGTGTAATCCTACATGTCCGTATTAAACCGTTATGAGACGTACGAAAACCTTACTAGTCCGTACTGAGTCGTAGTCCACCAACTTGTCAAGGATTTCCACAGTTTGGTACAGAGAATTACATATTTTGTACGGTTACCCTATGTTTAAGCTACCGTTTAAATAAGGGTTAATGTGGCCTTGTCACGGAAAGTCATGATCATAATACGTTGTACTATGGAGAGGCAGGGATAAGCACGGTCTTATACGGTTAATTGCATTGCAACACAAAACGGTACGGAATAGTACGGTTCACCAATGTTAAGTACGGATAAATTAAGTATCATGTACTTTTTCAAGGGTATAAATACAACATTCTTGTTAAAAACAGACATATTTGCGGGAACATTCAATAAATGATAATTGCAATTTACTGGCTGCAACTTTAAATTGAAATTGCTCAGAATGCGGAGGCAGCCGTTGAGCTGCTTGATGACATGCATAGAGATAAAAATATATTTATATCGTACTACAATTCATAAGTAATAGAATAATATTTAATGTTACATATTTTACAAACATTGCATTGTGAAATTGGAGTAAATATGTACATAGACCGAAGTGTTTTATAAGCCTCTGATGCTGGCCCTCGAGTGATAATAAGATTAATTAACAAGCTTTTTACATATTTTTGAAACATAAACATTCAAGATAATTAATGTAATTATAAAATGAACAGCAAATTTCAAAATTAAAAGAGAAGCAGTATTGATCAACATTTATCATTAATGATTACTAGTCCATATCTAATCAGGTAAGAGAAGACAGACTAGGTAGTGGACAGAGGTGGTGGACTAGAGATAGGTTTTTTACGAAGACACATTCATGTTTAGTATGAAGCTCTCGTGGCCGAAATTGTTGAGGATCCGGCGTTCTTCAAGAAATTCATTTTAATTGGACTGATATGTCTCGGGGGTCAGACACGATGAGGCCAAATCCTCTCCGCCAAAATCATTGAACTTTGCAATTCCCTTCTTTTAGGTGTTCTTTTCTTGTGAGGCATTTTGAAAATGAGCATGCAGAGGTTGTAGACGGATATAATAGGTCTGTTTAGATCCTTGGCAATTTGTTCCTCTCAATAATTCGTTCTTCTCTGTATCAGACTGTACTTATTTTTTACTAACCCGTGTTTACACAATAACAGAAGGTAGTGTATCCGTAGTGTGTCCGTCCTGATAAGTGTCGCTCCTTATCAAACTGGGTCGGTCCATAACAATCAAAGTTTCTACTGGGGCTTTTGGTGGTAAATCCCTCAGACTCCGTACTCATACCATTTTGTGTCCTTACTGGGACTGTAGAGGGCTACCAAATTTTACATTTCCCTAGTTATCTATGAACGATTAGACCATAGCTCTTCTGAGGCATTATCCAAGAATATGTGACATGGGCATTATGTACAGTCCACTAAACCAGATCTTTACCATTCATGAGTTGGCTAACTCACAGGGGACAGGTGTGGGTAGAGGTCAGAGAATAAGTACAAACCAATATTGGACCAGAAGTATCTAGCAGTAATAGAAAGAGTGCAAAATTTAAGATGTATCAGCTTGTGATATTCAAGTTTGTCCAAATCCAGGGGATAAGGACAAACCAGTATTTGATTACAAGAATCTAAAAGACATCTATCTAAGCCCTTATTGAAATTGAAATTCCAGAGTCGAAATCAATTTAAAATATAAAATGTGTCACATCTCTATACCTGTCATTCCAAACCATGGGGTAGATCATACTAATTGCACCTTCCATTTGGATTTAAAGAAGTAAAGTTGTTTTTCAAGTTTGTGACTAGATGTAGAAACAATATAAATTCTTTTATATATATTTTTCAATACAATATTGAAGAAATTTTTTATTTTATTTAGTACAAAAATTTGGTTTGCGTGTATAAAAAGAACGACAATAATAAAAGTAAATGATATCTTTTCATTTCAGTGCACACTATCAGCCAAAGAAATCTCCTTCAGTGATGAAGAACACTTTGTGCGAAACTGCACGGCGAAAGAAAATTTAATAATATACTGCAATAATGCACAGAAAGTATTATACTTCCACTTAGGGGTACATATGTGTCAATGGTATATACAACTCAATATGTGTTATAAAATACACAACTTATACACAAAGATGTTCAATGGCCAAATACAGGCAACAACAACTAAAGACACAAGATTTGAGCCAATTGAGCAAATTGAAAATGTGGTAACCGAAGTTCCTACAGAAATTTCCACAAAATTTGTGGGTTCCATCCCAATGAATCAGATGGTCTCCACAAGGAAATGCCTACATTGCTATAAAATAATTGACATGGGTGACACAGGTACTTCCATAGTTAAATGCACACACTGCAACACTAAACAAAACCTTGCTTCATTGAAAGTGAAAAGATATGGAAAGATTCAACTTGATGATGAGCAAAAGGGACCTAATAAATTAATTCTACCATCAGATGTGATAGAGTCCTTTTGTGCTGTGAACCATATTGTTGGTTACAATGATGGTCTTATTGAAGATTTCATATTAGAGCATGACAAGTACAGTATAGAGTGCAAGGGTGCATCAGATATTGTGACAAAAATTGAACTTGTCAACAAAGATGAAACATCCACTGTACCAAAAGCTTTCGACGACACAACATCAAATCTACAAAAATCTGTGGAGGATGATGATGACCTCTTGAAACTTGATATCTAGATTAAAAGTGATGACTTTGTTGATATGGTTTGTTGAAAAGCTATGTGTATTAACATAGCCTGACTATTAGAACAGAACACATTGTGTCATTGTTACAATATCTTGTGTTTTTATATAGTTTTATTTATTGTTAAAAGTTAGTCTGTAGAGGTTACAAATATTTTTTTTCATGTCTACACAATTTTTTTGTCCTTTTGATATCTTGTCTTACATACTTTATTGTATAATAAACTTTGTAAAGATACACACAAAAAAAACAACAACAAGGATTATTTTACAGCAGTGGTACTTTAGCAGCAACCTAGGGATATCACTTATGATTTTTCTACACTTTGCTTTCTTTTTATTATTAAAATATTTTTTCTGTTGGATTCTTTTTGAAGATAGAACCTAAAAATGTTTTATTGTAAAATGCTGGATCATTCTATGAATGACTTCCATTTTTTTGACAAATTGTTGTGTGTGATATTGCCATGGGCTGTGTTTACATAAATTGTAAATTCCTGGAGAGGAACAATTCAAAGTTTTTATAGCTTTCTGTCTAATTCGAATCTGTGTTTTGTAGATATTGTTCAAATATTAAATTGCATCTTGGAAAAAAATGTTGAAACCAGACCCTAGGGTATATATCTTTGTATTCAAGACCAACGTCCTTTTTAGCCTTTCAGACAGCAGGTTAGGATTAGGATCCCTGAGCAAAGTCCCTAATGGCTGAATCTACGCCTTCCAAGCAGACAAGGAACGGGTATAGATGCCTGATATGTAGAAGTGCTGTTTTGAAATTGACACAACATTTTCGCAGCCAACACATGATAGCGCTAAGGTCCGAATACAAATGTAAGTTGTGGGGAAATTTCGGCATACTCGGCGGGCGGTACGTAAACTGGAGAGGCCGCTATTTTGGTGACAAGGTGCTTGTTTTTAGCATGTCTGAAGGCCGGGAAATGTCGACAAGCTTGCTATGTTACGAATGTTAGAATGGCTTGGTTATCCTCAGGATGCAAGGCCAAATATGGTCATTTTAACGCAACTTTAAATAGAAAGCGTCTGGCAATGAAGATGGCAATGGTTTCACTGTTATTGTCAAAACAATTAGCCAAACAGCTACGACACGCCCCATCAACGTCAGCCTCATTACGACTTAGTTCATGATGCAAAGGAGGCCGCAAAAATCCTCTCCATCGCCAAAGGTAATCCAACTATAGGACCAGCCACCACCACTGTCTCTTTAACAGAATGTGATCAGCCTTTCCCTATTTCCGCTGGCGACCAGGTTCAAGGTCCCAACCGTGTTACAACTGTTGCAGAGATACACACTCCGCCAGCAGAGATTATATTGTTTCCAGTGCCCGAATCTCAACCTAATGTGCCGAGCACCACCCCTGCCCCTCTTATTGAAGCGACATTTTTAGCTATTCCTGCTGAGGACCACAACATTTCATGTTCTAATAGCGTGATAACGGTGGCAAGATATACACGCTCCTCCAGCCGAAGCAAGATTGTCTCCAGTGCATAGTGAAACAACAGTTGCCCAATGGGTATTAACCACGGATACTGCAATGTCCCTGACTTTGACAAGAAGCAGCGTGTCCACACTCGGAAATCAAAGGAAAAAGTGGACAGCGGAGGAAAATACAGAATTCGCACAGGACTTTAAAGACATGATTTCTGTCGCAGTTAGCGGTGGCACAAAACCTCTAATAGACACTGTCAGGAACAAGCTCTTGACACTAGGAAAACAAAACTTGACTGATTTAGGTGCCAATAAAGTGAGAGATAAGATCTGGAATATGTCAAGGTGTATGGCGAAATATGATGTGCCGTTTTTGAAATAACTGAAAAATATCATTGACTCTTTTTTTGTATGCAGCTGTTTCTTTTCTAATTTTAAAAAGACTATTCCATTGTAATTCTTTTTTTATTTAAAATTAACCTGAAAAATGTGCATGATTTTGCACATACTTTGTAAATAGATTTTTATTACTTTTACAATCATCTCTATTTTGCAATTACTTAGATAATCATTTTCAAATCAGATGTAAATTTTTGATTGACTAGTCACCAAAAAGAAAGTATAAAAAAATCACTAAATAGTAAAAAAAATTTTTATTTAAAAGCATATCTGTGATAAATCATTTTGAATAATCTCTGATTCTGTTAAATCATTTGTACTTGCCCAGGGTTTATTGTTGCCCTGGGCCTTACATTAATTTATTTATTCCAATCATTGTTGACACTTAAATTTTTTCCCCTTACATGAATACCGGCCTCATCATGGCGAAGGGGTGAATTTTCAGCAACCAGAGAGGTAGGTTTTTTCATCGATGTTTAATTTAGAAAAGATAAAAGGGTTATATTGATAGGCAGTTGATAATAAAAATGATCTTGTTCAATTGTATTTATGGTTTATCTTTTTACGTATTTATTATAAAAATTTTGTTTGCATGTATAAAAAGAACGCTAATAATTATATAGGTTAATAAAGAGTAAATATTTTCTTTTCATTTCAGTGCACACTATCAGGCGAAGTAATCCCCTTACTGACAAAGAACGCTTTGTGCAGACAATTTTCCATACAGCTTCCTTGAGAGAACTAGTTACTCTGTATGTTCGCCATTGCATGTTGACTGAACAAGAACCAAGCCCAAAAGGATTCTTCCAGCACACTGCTGATGATTATTCCAAGGACAGTCGACCAAACTTTAAATACTTGATGGACCAGGTCTGTAGATTTTCGCAAGGTATAGTAAACTTCAGGATGGCTGTTAGGAGAAATAATGCAAGCTTGCTCCGCAGTGCCAAGTATATGACAAAAGAATTATTCTATGCCAGACCTCATCCAAAATACCAGAACATTGAACTTCATGATATTCTGCAGGATTTAATGATGCCGGAGGAAGTTAGAAAACTGAATGATAATTATTGTTCTGTTACAACAAGTGGTAATAACTATGATAACTGAAATCAGTTATCATAAGCCTCTTCACTTGCTATTTAATAACTTAACCGAGTTATAAATTTAATAACTTAAAACAGTTACTTCTGTTAACATAAGACTGTTACTGCTTCATCATTGGGGAATTTTTCTGGAAAATTGGGAATCTTTTGGTCAGTTTGGAAAAAAGACAATATTTCAGTTTAAGAAACAGTACTGTTTAACTTCTTGTTGGTATTTACTTGTAGTATTAACTTATCAAATCTTTGTAACTCTGTTCAGTTATTAAACATACAGAGGCAAGCTGCAAAACTTAATATGTTTGTAGTTAAGTAATTAAAACAAGACCCCCCCCCCATATTTATCTCTCGGGGAAGACATGGATTTTCTTCTGGAAGAAAAGAACAAACAGCTTAAGTCTTGGCTACCAAAGGGTGTGCCATCTGATACCATATGGCAGACTGTGTGCCGAAATAGTAATATTTTGGAGAATGTTGAGAAACAAACCTACTCATTGTTTGGTATCAGTACAGATCAAGGTGCAGTAAGTCATTTGGACGTAGAAAGTGGCATCAAAGTTTTCCAGTGTCATCTTCGCAAAAGTAACTACATATCTGCAGTTGGGGCACATATGTCTGTAAGTGAAAAGGCTCTAGATGAACATTTTGTTGATTTTCTGACAGAATCTAATATAAAGCGCAAGCATAAAATAAGAAAAGATGTTTTGTGTGAAGATATCCCAGAAAACACTTTGTTACGCCAACCAGTTCCAGTAACACCTGATGAAAGAATGAAGATCTTCAGTTTGGACCGGCTAACTATTTCAGAACTGAATTCTGAAATAATGAAAGATTTAGAACTAATTCAAGATTCACTTTACCGAGATTTCTATAATGAACTGTTTTTGACCGAGGTTAAACATGCTAAAGGGAAAAAGAAGGAGAAGTATGTGTCATTCCTACAAGATTTAAGGGATGCAATGGACCTTGTAAACGAGTCAGATGATTAACATGAAAATGGAGCGCTTTCACAGGTATTACCTGCATGATCTGATTATGATGGAACAATGCTGTCGCTGAAGTAACTTGCCATGCCAGTAGAACCTTGCTTTTATCATTATTATATAAAGTTTCTTAAATGCATGTTGGAAATTTAACTTGAACTGGTACATAAGCATGCTTAGATTAAGTTTTTGAAAATTTGCTATATTGGACCATGCTTTCATTGTAGCAGGAACATTTTCTGAACATAATGAGGCAATAATGAATACTCCAGTTAGGGTTCAGAGTTACAATCACAGAGCATATTTTTGAAAGAATTATGGCCCCTTTATGATAATCTGAAATTTTATTGTTTTAAATTTTGGAACAGTTATTTTACAGTACAAGCTGACTCTGCACATCAAATACCATAATTCTATAGAATACAGTTAAGTCATTACAGTTAAGTGTCTAGTTGGTACTCGGATCTACCATCTTTTCTTAATATACAGAATACAGATTTCAGAGTATGTATACATATTTGTCACTGTAAAACAAACAGTATTAATTTAAATCATAACAAGAGCTGTCCGTAAGACAGCGCGCTCGACTTTTTTATTGCTTGCCAATAAAAAAAGTTTTTGCAGTAAAAGGCAATACAAGAATCTCTGTATTTTTAAAGTGAACTAGTTGTTTGATACCCTTGAATATTACAGCAATGTTTATATGACATAATTTATGGTAAAAGTGAACAAGTGGATAGGAATGAATTTTTTTTAGATTTTTTTAAGTTTTTTAGTGCTTGCCTATAATACAAAACATTGACAGTTAAGGGCCATAATTTCAAATAAAATCTTTGACAGAATTACCTTCTCCTGGACATGTTTGGGAATCATGATTGTAAACAAGTATTCCAACTTTCAAATTAATATCTCAAACAGTTCAGTCAAAAAGTGGACTGGTACTAAAAAACTTAACCAAGATTCTAAGTCGATAAAAGGCCTTAATTTTTAAAACAAATCCTTGACAGAGTTACCTTCTCTTGCGTACAGATGGGGTAATGATGTGAAATAGCATTAAAAGTTTCAAAGCAATATCTCAAAGGGTTAAGGCAATAAGTGGATTTTACCCATATTCAATGTATTTTCTAAGTCAAAAAAGGGGCATAATTCTGTCAAAAACCTTGACAGAGTTATGTCCTCTTGTCTGTTGATGAAGGTCGTGATGGTAAACAAGTATGGTCAGTTTCAAAGCAATACCTCCAATGGTTTTGAAATAAAGTGAGGTGGTACAAAAAACTTAACCAAGCTCAATACACTTTCTAAGTCAAAAAAGGGCCATAATTCTGTCAAAAACCTTGACAGAGTTATGTACTCTTGTCTGTAGATGGAGGTTATGATGGTGAACAAGTATGGTAAGTTTCAAAGCCATACTTGTAATACTTCTGAAATAAAGTGGGGTGGTACGAAAAACTTAACCAAGGTGTGACGCCAACGCCGACGCCGACGCCGGGGCGAGTAGGATAGCTCCCCTTTTCATAGAAAAGTCGAGCTAAAAAACAACTAAGGCAGGAAAATAGTTCTAGAGAGGAGAAAATCATATGATGATATCATGCTCTGATGAGCGTCTGAACCAACATGGTAGTGGTCTGGTCATAATATGACTGATTGATTGTTTTGTTCTTGACAGCTATCATTATTAAAGAAACTTTTGAGGTTCTTCTTCTGATCATATGCTGCATGTTTGTTGTAACAACTTGCATTATGGTGTACAGCCGTCTACACTTCCAAGTTAATATCAGGTATACCTGTTGATCCCTGGTTTTCCTTGTTAAAAGTTCAGCATGTTTGTAGCAAGATTAACTTCTAAGTATCTGTTTCAGGTCTAAGGCTACTACTTACTTGATATGCCTATTGACGTAATTATGGGCGGTTGGGGCATTAAAGTGAAGTTTCATAGTATAAGAACATGTATAATTAGCAAGTGAAACATTTTCTCATGTTTATCATAACCAATGTTCATTCCTTATAAAGATATTACTATACTATTTGGATTGCAACATGCTTTACCCAAAAAAAAAAAAAAAAAAATATTGAACATTTACTAAATATGCCAGGTGATTCAGAGCTCAAAATCCGCAAAAGCTTAGTATTGTGTACACATGGTAAACCATACAACATCTGAACATGTCCGTCAAACTGCTACACTTTTATGACGGTATGTTATCATTGTGTCATGCATCATGTGCATAGAGTATGTCAGGCATAGAGTACAATCACCCAAACCTACCGCCCACACCCTTGTAGGTAGTCTAAGCTAGCCCAGGAAGAATCATCATCTGACAGTTGCAGTATGACTGCTTGTTTGTTTGGGGTTGTACGCCTCTACAATATTGCTGCAATATGACTGAAATATGGTTGAGAGGCGTAAAATCTCAAACAAACAACTTTGTCTCTGAGAGGACCATATCTGGTTTTAAACAGTTAAAAAAAGAAGCAAAATTGAATTTGTAGAACTCTCCAATTGAGAATTTATGGCTCCCCTGGTCCTGGGATTAGCAAAACTGCCCAATAAAACCATGTTATATGTCCTCATGGGTATGCAATTAATATGTTATATTAACATGTTTAAGACAGTTAACTGGTTTAAAAGTTGGAATGCAGTAACAGATACTAACCAAGCTAACAAAAAATTAACAAGCTAACCAAAATTAACATCACTTCTAACGTATCTGACTTTAGCTGATTTCATTTAAACTTCATAACCCTTAGTGGTTTTAAAATATATTATACTTTGTACATGTTTCACTATTACCGATAAAGAATAATTCAGTGTAAGTTACTAGAGGTATTTTTGCTTCAATGACAAAGTTACCTTTACACATCTTAAAAAGAATGAAGCAGCAAACCTTAGGTGTAGTGATTGTCATTGAAAATGGTCATGACCTGATTAGTAAATTTGTTTGTTGCAAATTTGTTTGTTAAGTGATTTATAGGTTACAAATATTTGCCTCTAACCGCCTCCGTAGTCGAGGGTTTGAGTCAATTCCTCCTAACAGGTTACCTTTCTGGCGCTGGTTCGATCCCTGGGAGATGCTTTGGTAGTTTAGCGCGGAGGAAGGTAGTCTAGTACTGGTGTAATTCTCCAGGAACAATGGTTTTAGGAAACTACCCGCCTATATGACTGAGATACTGTTGGAAAAAGGCGTAAAATGAAACAAACAAACATTTGCCTCAGAATTTGAAATAGCTGTAACATGCTTGGAAAATTTTGCTTTAATCATGCTAATAGGAGGCAGGTGATATAGCTGTCATTAAGAAAGGTTGGTAATTGTTTAACAAGTATAGTTAAAATGCATAGGTGACCAGGGATTGATATGTCACTGAACTAACTGCCTTGATATTACTGAAATATTTTGGACACAGTGCATTAATCTTCAAACACTCGCACATATTAGACTGCTTCTTTATCTTGTTCTACATGTTTTAAGACTGTCATGACTATTTTATTAAAAATTTCAACCAGTATCATCTGCTTTTTAGATTCAACAGACCTGAAGGACCAGACCAGCATATGGTTTGACAAACCAACAGCAGCACTTGACACAGCAACACTTGACACAGCAGCACTCGACACAGCAACACTTGACACAGCAGCACTTGACACAGCAACACTTGACACAGCAACACTTGACACAGCAGCACTTGACACAGCAACACTTGACACAGCAGCACTTGACACAGCAACACTTGACACAGCAACACTTGACACAGCAACACTTGACACAGCAGCACTTGACACAGCAACACTTGACACAGCAACACTTGACACAGCAGCACTTGACACAGCAGCACTCGACACAGCAGCACTTGACACAGCAGCACTTGACACAGCAGCACTCGACACAGCAACACTTGACACAGCAGCACTTGACACAGCAACACTTGACACAGCAACCCATGACAACAGTACAACATATAACAAACACAAGAAATTAAAACCTGGGACAAAAATTCAATGCGCCACTAAGGGTGAGCAATATAAAAGACAAAAGCAAGCTCTGAGAATGCAAAAATCCAGAGCATTGAAGACCATACAAAAATGTTCCCAGAAATTGTGTAAGCAATCAATTGAACCAGTCGAATTTGTGTTCGTAATGAAGGAAATAAAAAAAAATAAGTATAAGTATTTTGGTACTGGTTCTTTGCTGAAAAAATTGGAAAGTGGCAAAGTACTTCTTGATATGGATGGGAAAAGCAAGAAGTTACCTGTAGATGGGAAAGCAACAACTACTCAAGCCTTGACTCCGGGGAAATACCCCTTCAGCTTCACAGGAAGTCTGGCGGAAGACCAGAGACAGAAGCTGGATAATGTTGAAGTTCAGCCAGCAACTTCAACACCAATGGCTACAAGCATGACAAGGTATGAAATTTCTTAATACTGGACTGTTTGTTCAAAATGCTTATGGGGGGGGGGGGATTTACGCAATGCCTGAGATCCAAACAACCCTACTGCAGTCATCCATAAAGAATCCAACAATTTCAACCCTTTCTTATCCTTGAGAAATCTCTGGAACATGCATGGCTATACGGTGGTTGCTATGATGTTTGCTTTGCCATTTTAATAGGTAGTCCGTCAGCCACAAGGGGCAACCTTCAAAATGTAATAGTCTCCAGATTACAATTCAACTTTGGGAAAACCTTGTTAACTGAGTACAGGATAGGCAAGCTGGTGGTCCGAGTTACAATATCTGGCTTATGATGCAGACATTTTAGCCCATTTTAACATTATTAGTAATTCCAGATTACAGTCAAACTTGTGCTTAAGAATACCCAGTCACACACAGACTTTACCATGTCAACAGTCAAACTTTAAGGCAAAAGTATAGATGAAACTTGAAGTGTAATCTTTACAGCCACAGTCTGGATGGAATAAAAGTGCCATTAATAGAAAGCCCTTAAACCTGTAAAGGGCTTTTCAATATTAAAGGCCTTTAAAAAATTGTTTTAACAAAATACAATGCCTTTACCTTGTTTTAATTTTTACAGCAGCAATGTGACTAAAACTGCTAAACGGAAAATTGCAGAAGCATTTCAAAGTTCAGACTGCAGTGATTCCGAGCCAGAATCCGATGTATATGACATGTAAGCAAAATTTACTGCATATATATTTCATAATCATAATATTCGTGCTAGGAATATTTTTTACTAAAGGAATTCAAAACTGCACAACAATATTAATTTTAACTTGATAGTGTTGCATTAACCTTGTTACAAGTCAAATGGTTTATTGCGGCCAAATATTACTACAGACCAGAAAATATGTGTGATCGGTTTTGGTTTCTTCAGCATGTTCAGTCATTTGTGTGTTCAAATAGTAAATGTTAATTTTGATCTAATAAACAGTAATTTTTGTAAACTACAGCCATGAAATTCAGACCATGTGCACCATCTTACAAGCAGAGATATCAATACTGGCTATATATTTCACTATGCACTCATTCAACTTACAAATTTGTTTTCATTTTGTTGGTAGACTTCCTGTAATGAACAGTTCAACAGACAATATGGGCGATGAAAGTACTGAAGACCTGCAGTTTGGTAACAATATGTAAGTACAACTTTTTTTTTATTGTCTATCCTAAAGTCTTCTTTGTCTTCTTATCATTTCACATCAATACTGACTCCAGTATATTACTTCACATACTGGATTTGCCCAATAGTTGCATTAGTGCTCTGCCATATGCCTGAAATACTGCTAAAAGCAGTGTTAAACACCAAACAAATTAACAAATACTGATTTTCTAAATTTAGGAGAGACTAAAATGTTTTTAGACAGCAAATGGTATAAGCAAACTTAAACAACTTCTGCTCTGTTACAAGTCTACCGAAAAAATGTTAAAGTCTGCAGAAAATTTAGTTGATTTAGTTGTCACCAATTTACCTTTTTGTTTGAATGTTATTCTACAGCCCTATACATAACCTGAGTAATGATAATGTTCACAGGTATATCGTGATGCCTGTATTTAGCTCACCAGTCACAGAGTGAGTTTTTGTTATAGCATTTTGTCTGTCGTCCATCCATCATCCGTTAACAATTGTTTAACACTGTAGAGGTTACATAGATGACTGTATCTTAGTGAAACTCTAGATAATCCCTAGCTCAAATTTTAATCATGGTTATGTAGGGTCAAAAACTAGGTCACCAGGTCAAATTAAAGGAAAAGCTTGTTAACACTCTAGACATCCCATAAACAGCAGCAAAATATATTGTTTGAAAAAAGTGAAATACACTGTTTGGTAAAAAAACTATGACACTGGAGGTTGTGGGACTCACTTACTTGTAATATGTAAGTACTTTAATATCTGCATTTTTTTATGTAGGGCACCAGGGAGAGGAAGAGCCAAAGGTGGTCACAGCAGAGGTGCTCAAACCAGAGGAGCTCGCAGAGGTGCTCGAACCAAAGGTGGGCGCACCAGAGGTGGTCTTAGTCGGAGGCGTGGTAGGGGAAAGGAAACAAGGACTAATGTGCCCAAAATGTAAGTATTGCATTTTGAAATTTTCCGTAGAAGGTATTTGCCCTTGAAAATGACATGTAATAGCAAAAACCTCAGATTCAAGGGCAAATAACTCATAAATTAATTCAGTGACACCCTTTTTTTCTTATCAATATGTTTCTAAGGTTATTTCTTATGATCATGCCAAGTTTTAAAATTTTCTATGGAACAGTTTAATTTTTCCTTCTTTGTCTATATGAGAAAATACGAAACTGTGTGAAAAGATTTAGGTACAGGGATTTTTTTGGCTTATTTTATAGACGTTTATTGGGTCATATTCCCAATTGAAAATAGTATATTATTTTCCCAATCCACAGAAAAAATTCCCAATTGAAAGTTACAAAATAAAAGTATTGAATAAAAATTCTAAAATCTTTGAAAATAAGGGCTTCTTCATTGTAATTAGTGCTTAAATCTTTGAAGATGCCATCCTAGACAGTAATTCTTTGCATCCATTTAATCACTGTAAAATTTCAGTCATGTTTTTTTTCCCCAATTTTTAACAAAACACCGCTGAAATTCCCAATTCTATGGGTATGGGTCATGTTCCCAAAATCCTGGAAAAAAATCCCTGAGGTAGGATAGGCAACAATTTCTTTCATTTTTCTCAGTCCAAACAACATTAAGGATAAGAAATTGTCAAATTAATGTTAACATATATATATAAAAAAAATTACAAGTGACATAGTTACATTTGATACAGAGTATGATTTTGGGGTTGCAGGAACCGATTGATGACTGCCACAAAGATTCTGAAAGATCTGCAGGATAGTCTGTAAGTAAACAATTGTTGCTATAGATATTAAAGTCATGAGAATTATGTGATCCTGAAATCACAACAATTTTCTAATCCTGTTTTAATTTGTTCACCGTTGTGGCAACACACTTAACAATGACTTATCAATGATTGATTATATTTGCAGCTTGTACTTTGTGGTATCCTTACGTTTCACTGTACAGCTTTTGTTTGTGTTTTGCTATTCTCTATTCTGTTCAGGTACTGGCTTTGTGTGGGTGTGTTTTTTAGCTCACCTGTTACAAAGTGACAGGGGGGAGCTTTTGTGATCGCTTTCCGTCCGGCTTCTGGCCGTCCGGCGTCTGTAAACTTTTACTTTGAACGACATCTCCTCATAAACCACATAGCCAATTTTCTAGTGAATGTCTACAAAGTTTGTTTAAATAAAAGCCTTGGAGTCAAAATTGGCCCCGCCCTGGGTGTTATTGATTTTCCTTATATTTTTATAGTAAAAACTTAAAAATCTTCATTGAAAAAAACCCAAATAGCTAGAGTTTAGATATTAAGCATGAAACATCTTACAAAGTTTGTTCAAATAAAAGCTCTGGGGTCAAAATTGACCCCATCCCAGGGGTGTCATTGGTTTTAACTATATGTGTATAGTAAAAACTTAACATTGTGAAACATCTTCTAATGGGTGTCTTCCAAGTTTATTCAAATAAAAGCCCTGGGGTTTTAAGTGGCCCCGCTCCGGGTGCCTTTTATACAGGTGAGCGACCTCAGGCCCATCATGGCCCTCTTGTTTTATTTAGCATTGTTTGATTTGTATTATAGACAAAAAATGATTCTGAATAATAAGCATGTTAAGGCTGTAGAAAAGTTTTAGATTCTCACCCCAAGATGTTCAAAAATGACTCTGGAAAATACTGTTCACGTCCCAAGCATCTGCTCAAAAACTTGTTAAATCAAATAATAGTTATTTAAACTTCTCATAATGTTACCAAAATTAGAACAATTGATATCATCAAATTAGATTTCATGAGCAAGAGCTGATACTTTCTTAAATCAAGTAAGACTTAAGACAGTGAGATACTGTTCAAAAATCTTGTGACTTCATTGCATTATACTTAATTCAACACTCCTTTTTATTTCAGTCCTCTTTTAACATGTTTAAAACAGCTATGCAATGCCCTGTGTGTTACACAAATTTCCAAAGCACTGTTAATCACTAATAGAATAAGAGAACTTTGAAAAATTATTTACAAATTTTTACAGCAGTAAATGGTAAAATAATACATGTTTTAACGTTTGACACTATACCTGAATAGTTTGACACTATACGTGAATCACTGTTATGTTTACATGGTAAAAATTAACCATGTAATTAGGGGTTACATGAGCCAATAAAACTCCCATTAATCCTCCCATCAGACCCTTTGATGAACCAGTATCATTTCAAGGCAGTCAATGATTTTATAGCTCTTGTGACTAACAAGAAGGTGTAATAATATAACTGTAAACAAAATAGAAGGTTTACTGTTAATTTCTGTGAAATCATACAAAATAGTTTTAGATTGAAACTTTTAAATTTATTTTTCTGCCATGTGATAATTTAAGGCATAATGAGCTTATTTAAATGAAAAAAAACAAAAAACAAAAAAAAACATTTTACTCCCCAGTGTATCCTTACTGCAATAATAGCAGACTGCACAGGAAGTATTATACTTCCACTTTGGGGTATATATGTGTCAAAGGTTCAACTCAATATGTGTTATAAAATACACAATTTATACACAAAGATGTTTAATGGGCAGATACAGGCAACAACAACCAAAGAAACAAGGTTTGAGCCAATTGAGCAAATTGAAAATGTGGTGACCAAAGCTCCGACAGAAAATTCCACAAAATTCGTGGGTTCCATCCCAATGAATCAAATGGTCTCCACAAGGAAATGCCTACATTGTTACAATAAAATTGACATGGGTGAAAAGTTGTGTGTATTCACATAGCCTGACTATTAGAACAGAACACATTGTGTCATTGTTACAATATCTTGTGTTTTTATATAGTTTTATTTATTAAAAGTTAGTCTGTAGAGGTTACAAATATTTTTTTCATGTCTACACAATTTTTTTTGTCCTTTTGATATCTTGTCTTACATACTTTATTGTATAATAAACTTTGTAAAGATACACACAAAAAAAACAACAACAATGAAACCAGCAGAATTTCTGGAGAAGGCGGAGTTAAGTAGTCACATGGTAGTGAAATCACAAATCAACATGGCTGTTTCCACCAAAACTACGACTTTCAAATCTAAAAGCTTCTTCACTGAAGATGACGCGTTAGAAATAATAATGAAAGAAAAGTTAGGTGTCACGGCAGTGCAGGTTCGGGAAAAACTAAGAGATATTTTAAAACCAAGCATGGCAAAAAACGCCAAGGAGGGAAAATTTGATTGACTTCAAAACTTTTTCAAGAGATATAATGATTTGTTAGAGTGAATAACAGAGAACAAACAGTTTTTTTTGTGTGTGTTTTTTCTTTATTTTGTTAATATTAATTAGTGTGTAAGCTTTTAGTGTGCTTTATTGCTTGGTACCTGTTTTATATCTAGATCTTTTTGTTTGTAAATATAACTATAAAATTTTCAATCGATTTTTTTTATGAATTTCACCTCAAATATGTTTCTGGTAAAGATCTTAAGATACATAAACATCAGGCAAATTTGTTTTATGGAGACATATGTCAGAAGTGTTTCATGTTCCCCATATCTCTTGTTAAAAATCATATGAGCCGCGTCATGACAAAACCAACATAGTGCGTTTGCAACCAGCATGGCTTCAGACCAGCCTGTGCATCTGTGCAGTCTGATCAGAATCCATGCTGTTCGCTATTAGTTACTCTACTTGTAATAGGGTTGGTAAGCGAACAGCATGGATCCTGATCAGTCTGCGAGGAGGCGCAGGCTGGTCTGGATCCATGCTGGTCGCAAACCCATTATGTTGGTTTTGTCATGGCACGGCTCATATTTAAGAACTTTCAGGTATGCTGGAAATGGGCTGGATTTTTTTCCATGCTTTACCATTGATCCTAGACCATGGACTATTTACCATGGTAAAATGTCCAGCATCATTATGTTGATAGTGCATTGAAACCCCTGGAAAATGTTGCATTATTTCATTGCAATACAGTGTATATCTAAGCAATTTGATTCTTTTTACCCACAGTTGATTACATTTTTAATTTAAATGTCCCTAGACAAAACCAATATGCTGTTGGAGAATAAGAAAGGCTATTATTAAGAACAGTTTTCCGCCCTTATAGATAATGCGTCAGGTACATTGCCTAAATTATAGGAAATATGTACGATCTGCCCTAATACTTAAAGGAGTATCGAAAGATGACAGGAGATGTGACCAGCCCGACTGCAAGGGAAAAAAGGGAGTCTTGCGTTTGATACAGTGCTGTGTTTGTGGACGGTGGTTCCACACAAAATGTTGTGGAGTCACAACAAAATCAGCCATCGAAGATGATTTTGAGTGTGTGTTTTGTTTGGCTGCATATAATTAAAGCTGCATGCCTCCAGATGAGCCAAAATATTTCAAGAAAATAAACCTTAAGAAAAATGTTCTTAGATTTTAAGAATAGTAAAAGTATTCACAATTCAAGAAATAGTTTACATGCTGTATGCAATAAATGACTAATTTTGAATTATTTTTTATCTTATACTGCGTTACTTACGCAATAAGGACTATTTTTTCATATTTTGTTAATTTGAAGTGCTGATTGAAATATGAACATTATTTTCTTTGTTCACTTTACAATATTTTACATTTAAATACATTTTCAAAATGTTCTCTAAAAGTAGCTTGAATCTGGAGGCGTGGTGCTTTACATACATAGGAGACTTTGTATTTCAGTTTATTATTGACAGACAATAATTAGGTATATAAAAATGTTAATGTGTTTTACTTAATGTTTGTGAAGTGTCATATTCAATTGATTTTTAAACATTTTTGGCTTAAAATCCCTATCATAATTGATGAATTGAGTAAATTAAATTATTTATTATTATTAAATATTTTATCATGGAACTCATATGATTTTGTTCAGAAACTTCACTTCAATACAAATCAGTATGGTTAATGTTACTGAGAATATGAAATTAAAAACTATGGCTCCATAGATATTTAAATTCCGAACTACTTTAATCATTACTATATACATGTATACTGCAATACTTTGGTTAAATGTCATGGTTAGATCATTTGGTAATTATGATAATATATATCTAGAGTTTATACCATTACATAAGGGGCACATTTGATAACTTATAAAAGATCAATTTCTCAAAAAAAAGTCAACTTTCCAAGTTAATCACTTAAAAATTGGAATACTGGTCCACCGACAGGTCATGTTAACTATGGATCCAATGAAAAATCCACTCTTGTCTAGGTCAGTATCACTGGCTATTTGCCTCACTGACTTTTAATTTCATATTTGGTATGAGGTATGATTCATCTGATGGTTCTCAAATTTTTGGAGGCATATTGATTACCTTCTTAAACTAGCCATCCAACTAGAAACTTTGGTTTCCTTTATTTGTCTTTAATAGTTATAATAGTTGTATAAAAGTTGTCTTTAATAGTAACATCCTTGTGTTGTCATGAAAATTAGGCTGTTTAAGGGTCAAGGTATTACATACAATATTTTTTTACTCTTTTAGCTACATTTTTATAAATGATGGACACTGAAATACAATAATTAACAAATATGCAGATTCAAGGGTAATCCAGGATCTGAAACCATATACTCTTTCTGGTTAATAGGCGAAATATATTGGTAATCCTCAGTTGTTTTTTTTTTTCATTTATCATGTTCTTTCATATATGAATTACAAACATTCCAGTTACCATACTGTTGTTACATATATCGCATAAAATGCTGCACATGAGTGTAATAAAGCAATTTATATTAAAAAAGATATAACACTAGACATTATTACACTATTGTAATAACACTTTGATGTGACGTCA